GATCAGAATCTGCGTTTTTACAAGATCCCCAGGTGATTGCTTTGCATACTAAAGCTTGAGATGCACTAATCTATAGTATAGTATTTTAAAAAAAACCACAATTCATTTCCATTTTGCAGAGAGAAAACATGTACAAGGATCAAACTACCTTTTTGATCAGCGAAGACAAAGAAAGAAGTTTTCACTTGTGAGCTAATGTCTATTGACTGATAGAGGCTTCTGAGGCTGCTTCCTGTCTCAGAGGAGAAGGGTCATGACTGACGAGTGACATCTGCTCTGAGAGTAGGAGGGGAGAACTCCTGGATGCATACAGGACTTTGTCATCTTTGCTTTAGAAATCTTTAAAATGTAACATCAGAAATGCTGCCAAAGATTTTAATGATGCCAAGACTAAAAATATCTCTTTACTGGGGCTAGCATTGCCTCCTCCAGCCCCATCCTTCCTCTTGAGTAGATGATATAGGAGTGAGCCAATACATTTAATATCAGCTAAGTATCACACTCTTATAACAATGCAAAAACCTCACTATACGTTATTTTTAAAGTAACATCAAGGACATTTAAATTATAAAATATTCTGAAATCAGAATAAAGGCAACTAAGTCGGCATTTTCTCACACACACACACACACACACACACACACTACAATACCTAAGTGTCTCTTGCACTCAGTAAAATAAATATTTGACTTGATCCCCAAAATTGTCTCATGTAATAAACAGTCCCAAATCCTGCCTTTATTTCCAACTGCCTCAGAGAAGGGGGAGAATGACATAATGCGTGTGAACTATTTGTGGACTGTCAAATTCCATATAATTATAAATATTCACCACCTTCCAGCATCTTGGAAAATTGAGAGTAAATGGAAATAGTGAAGTTGAATATATGAAATCTGTCACCTCTAGGCCTTTGGCCAAACTCATGCCTAAGCTCCTTCTGATAAAAAATGATTTACACTTACCTCTCCACCGTGGATTAGCTTGCTCCACTTCCAAAAGGGTACTTCAATAGGAGCATAAGAGGGACACCTGATAGTTTGTTTATACTGATCTCATGAGAGAATTAGATAAAACAAATCAGGTTATTATTAAACTCTTGGAGATAAAGCCAAAGAAGTAATCATAGACTAGTCAGTAAGACCTGACCACACATGGCTTAGTGCTACTGTTACTACTAAGCTTTGTTTCATGGGGCAAGATCAGCCCCTTAAAATTAGACTTCTATTAGTACTTATAATGTGCATTTGGAGCAAATGGACTGGCGTGAAGCAGGCCTGCTTGTCATGCCAGGTCTGTGAAAAGATAGAGCCATCCTCGTCTGCCGGGAAGGCTAACCGCTGATGTGCTCAGATGCAAATGGTCTTGCACATTTCTCTGTCTTAGTTTCATCCACAAGAAGAAATACACATCTAGTAACAATTATGATAACCTTACTTAGCTAGATGCTTGAAGTCGTAAGCATTCTTTTTGAAATTTTTGATCCTATGAAACGTTTACAAACTCAAACTAAGTACCTACTGTTTATAAATTCTTTCAAACTGAAATTGACTTCTCATTCAACTTCTGGTGTTGTTTCCCTGTTTAGCAGATATGGACAACTAAATCTTTCTTATGCTTAAAATTCCAAAGAATAAAAGAGTACAGTCACTTTGGAAAACAGTTTGGCAGTATCTTAAAAAGTTAAACATAAATTTATATATAATTCCACTCCTAGGCATCTAACCTAGAGAAATGAAAACACAAAGTTCATAAAGACATGTATACAAATGTTCACAGCAACATTACTCATAATAGCTAAAAAGTACAAACCACCTAATGTCTATCAACTGTCAAATGGGTAAACAAAATGAGGCATAGCCACAAATGGGCTACAATTCAGCTACATGATTACTAATACTGCTACAACATGGATGATCCTCAAAAATATTCAGCTAAGAAAAGAATCCAGATGCAAAAGACTACATGTGATTTGATTTATATGAAATGTCCAGAAAAAGGCAAATCTATAGAGATAGAAAGGAGATTAGTGTTTGCCTGGGGTTGAGGGTGGGAAGAATAATTAATTGTAAATGGGCACAAATGATTTTCCAGGTCAATGTAATGGAAATGTTCCAAACTTGGTAATGTTGAGCATTGCAAAACTCCCTACACTTACTAAAAATCACTGAATAACACAACTAAAATGAGTGAATTTTACGGTAGGTAGATTACACTTCAATAAAGCTCTCTCTCTCTCTCTCTCTCTCTCTCTCTCTCACACACACACACACACACACACACACACACACACACACACAGGTTTTCTTATTACCAGGGAATGAAGTCCAAAAGCACAAATTCTCTAGCATGGCATGAAGACCCTCTCTAGCCCCTCTCCTCCAATGATCTTCATTCCCCCCCCAAACACACACACACACACACACACACACACACACACACACACGGCAGTAGCTTTTCCCCTTCCTCAGAACATGCTGTTTCACACTTCTGTTATTTTTCACACCTGAAAATGCACAGTCCCTTCTCTACTCAGGACACTCCCAATGTAAATCAGACTTCTCTGAAATGGTCTCTAAAGTGTCTCAGTCTAAAAGAGTTTCTTCCTCATTGTCTTCCCATAGAATCTTCTATAATGTCTGTGTACATCACTTCTTATTTGTATTATAACCATATGTTTTCAATCCACCTTCACTGCATTGTGGGTTGGCGGCGGGGGGGAGCAGAAAAAGTATATACTAATAGCTACTATTTGTTTAACATTTACTCTTTACATATTATTTTTGGCATATTTACTCATTTACATATTACTTCTAATCCTCACTACAATCATGTAGGTGAGCTAATACTGTCTCCTCTCATTGGGCTCAAAGAAGAGACACAACATGTTTAGGATCACACTGCCAATAAATAGGAAACAGATCAAATCCATATATGCTGAACTCCAAAAATCAATGTTCTTTTCACTAAACTGCTTCTGGTTTACAATACAGAGCATAAAGAGATGCTTATATTTAATATATCGTAATGGCAAAAGTTATGAGATCTGGTTTTTAGTATCGGCTTTATCCCTGATCATGCAATGTTGGAAAAGTCACTTGACAATCTGAGCCTCAGTTTCCTTATCAGGAAAACAAGAGAGTTGGACTAGATAATCTCCAACGTTCCTTCTGGCTCTAAAAAAATCTGATTCTGTGTGGTATCTTGCAACCCCTGGAACTCAAGATAAACCAAACCAGAGCAGACTGTCTGATGATAATCTAGAACCTCAACACAGGCCATGTCTGGTGATGTTACCACAGCACACTACTGTGAGCTGGTGCATCCCAGCAGCATGAGTGCTTAGAGTTCTGGAGCAGTCCTTGAGCAGTTGCTGAAGACTAGGACAGGACTCCCAACTCTCTCTGCCTGTATGCTTTATGAGATAGTACCCAACACATTAACTCCAAATTGCCGGGATGTCCATCTCTATCCTAGCACAGGCCACCCATATCACACCTAATAATAACTGCGACCTACATAGTGCCAGGGCATCATTGCACCGGTTGATCTCCAAGTATTCACAAGCACTGTCTCCTAACCAGCCTCTGCCTTACAACTCATTCAATAATAATTGCCAGATAAACTTTCTTGAAATGTATATCTGATTGAATCATTCTTCTGCTTATAAGCTCCCCTCTCCTCCCAGCATTCTATTTCTTACACAATAAAGTAAAAATTTGGCGTATAAAATCTTCTGTAGTCCAATCTCAACCTATCTTCCCAAACCCTTGTCTACTAGTATTCATAAACCATGCATTCCAGGCAAAATAAACTACCTCGGGGTTGTTACATTCAAGGGATATTTTTAATGTAGGTATAATTTTTATGTTAACATACTTTAAACATCATAAAACATTCTAAGATTTAGAGCATGGTTTCTTGATAGCACACAAACTGGACTCTGTTCATGCAATACGGTTATGTAACTCCCTGTGCTGGTCTCTGTCTAGAATGCCCTTTCCCATCATCTTCCTACTTCAACATCTTCAAATGAGCTGACATGTTTAGTTCCCAATGTGGTAACTGACATATAAGTACTCGCACATGTTTTTAGCTATTCGAAGCAGCCTTCTGTCCCTCTCACTAGTAACTTTTCTCCCTCTCTGTACTCACATCATCTTTTCTATATACCTTTCTTATGTTGCTTATCCCTTCCTATTTTGTTTTATAATTATATAATGTAAATATCTTAGATTCTCAACCATCCAAAGCCCTTGGAAAAACTGGTACAGTGGGGCCTTGACTTACGACTGTCCCGACTAATGAGTTTTTTGAGATACGAGCCATCTCTCGGCCGATTTTTTGCTTTGAGTTGCGAGCTAAAATTCGGGTTACGAGCCAGCTTCAGATACCCCACCGCTAGTTGGCGCAGGAACGCCACAACATCAGCCCAGCATCACCTGTCTCACTCGTTCACTTTTGATTTGACATACGAGTAATTTGAGTTACGAGCTCCATCACGGAACGAATTAAACTCGTAAGTCAAGGCCCCACCGTATTTGGTCTTAGTCCTAGATGTACCCAGCACCAAGCACAAATTATCAGTGCTCAATAAATATTTCCTTAATGCATTAAAAAAAAAAAACTAGGTGGAAACTGACATCTAAACTGGGATGGGCATGGAGTGGAGGAGCTACTACTATGTGCCAGGTACTGTGGCTGAGCACAGTTAATCTCTTATTCTACTTAATCCTTTCAAAAACCCTACTGCGCATCTCCATCTTACTGAGGTCAGGGTTAGGGAAGTGAAGACAGTGGGCTAAGATCACCAGATGAGTCCGCTGGGACCTCCCCAGTGCTGTACTGGCCGCTGGCCCTCCTCCTAACTTGTCACCCTCCGGGAGGTGGAGGACCTCTTAGGACCACGTGCAACCCGCAGCCCCTCCCACCTGGCCAGCCCCGCCCCGCAGTTGCCAGCTGATCGACTCCCAGCGCTCGGCCCCGCCCTCTGCGTCGCGTGACGTCACCACGCTGGGCCGAGGTGGCGCGGCCAGGTTCTTTAAATAAGGGCTTCCCAGGGCGCGCGGCAGTGTGTGGAGTGGGGACGCGGCCGGGCCGGGGCCGGAGCGGCCGCGACCGCGAGGTGGGCGGAGAGGCTGCTGCCCGGGAGACGCGGGGCGGAGGGCGCTGCCCGGGAGACGCGCGCTCGAGGGGCGGGCGGAGGGAACATGGCGGCCCCCGCGGCCGGGTCGGGCCGGGGCGCACGGCTCCGGCTCTGGCGTGGCACAGGCCCGGCTCAGGCTCCCCCTGGCCCGCCCTCCTGAAACCTTGTTTCTCGTCGAAGTCCTTTAGTCCCCTTTCCCGCAGCCATTCCTTTTGCCCGCACTGGCTCTCTCTCCCTGCCTCGCGCTGGGTCGAGGAGTGAGAGGTGGGTTCCGTGGGAGCCGGTGAGGCCTGCCCGGTGCCCAGGGGCCGCCTCCTCCGTTTGTAAGTTTCTCGTCCACACCCGCTCGGTCCGCCCAGGGCCCCGGGAGAGGCACCGAGCGCGCAGTGGCCCAGCCCGACGTGGTCCTGGTGATTCCCCAAAGGGACCTGTGACATGTCACCTGAGGTGCCTGGACCTCAGTCTCCTCAGCAATGAGGTTCTCTTGGAAAGATTGTTGGTCTCCAGGCCTTTTTGTTGTGGTTTTTGTCCTGCATTGCTTGCCGAGATGACCCATAGCAGGGCATGATGGGGAAACCCGAAACCAGATTTCTTTTGGCAACTGGGGGCCGAGGGACCGCTGAGACCTACGGCTCCCCGCCATGCAGTGATGCGCGCTGTAGGCCATGAGAACGCCGTTCTGTTTGGGCTCCGAGAGTGCCGTTCCTGGGACAGGTTAAATGGAGAAGGACTGCAGCGTCGTTGCTGTTCTACCCCAAGAACCTGGCGAGCATTGGTCTGTCCGCTGCATTCTGTTTCCGGTGTCCTGTCGGTTTTAGGACAGGTGTTAGGAGCAGGGTTAACAGCACCTGGTCTCCCCAGTCACCTGCTTTCAGTGCTGACCTTTTTGTTTTTCCTCAGGGGATTCTGGAGAAATCCTGCCTCTGCTGGAGCCTGCGCGACCAGGCAGCGGCACCGTGAGCTGGAGTGACGCAGAAGTCCAGGAACATGAGCTCCGTAACGGCCCTGAGTGAACCGAGGCTGAATTGGTGAGTTGCCTCTGTTTGTAATCACCTAAAGAGAATGAACGTGGGGCTAGGTTAGATTAGGAAAGGCGGGGGTTTTGACCTGCAGAGCTTTGGAGGAAACAGAAAGAAAATAGAAGTTCAGTGGCTCAGAATCTATCCCATCCTCATCTGCACATACTGAGCACGTTTGCGGTATAGCTGACTGCACTTCCTCTCCGAAAGAGACGGTTCAGCACTCAGATCGCTACCAAGTATAATTCCATCAGGTGCTTATTGACGCTCTGTTAGTGAAGGAGAGATGCTGGAATTTTCTTGTGTCCAAGGACCTTGCCCACTGCTGTACAAGTAGGAAAAAGACCCCCCCTTTAAGAATAGACAAGCTTCTTTTTGTTATGTTGGAATCTGTATCAAGTGCTCATGTAAATGCATAGACTGTTTTAGAAGTGTATGAGAACTTCACAAATAGAGGACTCAGTTAAGTAACATAAGTGGCTCTGATCTAACTAATAATACTCGTGTGGCTTTAGGTTACTTTAGCGCACGTTTACTGAGCAGCTACAGTTTGCTAGCCAAGGAGAATATGAAAGTTACTAGACACTATAAAGATAACTAAAATAGTACCTGATTTAAAGAAGATGCATTCAGTACGTGTTCAATAAGTATTTATTTAATGCAAACAATGTTCCCTTCCCCCAAAGAGCTCACAGTCGATCCCTGAGCCCCATGACTTTGTTTTTGTATGATATGCAAAAGCCTTAAAATGTAATGAGATGGCAAATATACAGTACCATAATAAGTCATGAGAACCACATTGGTGCATAGCAAATAAGACATTCTCATTTTACCATTTATACTTACTCCAATTGTAGTTTTTTGGATAAATGCCTTTAAAAACAGTAAGAAATGAGTATGGTGCAAATATGCTAGAATTTTTCATTTTGGGAATGGGCCAGCCAGAAGTTGCCATTCAATTAGAGGTATACACCAAGCATGTCAAACTCGCAGCCCGTGGCCCACAACAAATATTTTTGTGGCCCAGCCAATATAACATATGTAAGAAACATTTAATAAAAATTTCATAACTTAATTTTTACAATATCCTATTATACATAATCTATACTAATATACATAATCTATACTAATAAAAGGGTAATGTGCTAATTAGACCTGACATCTTCCGGACATCCATCCGGACAAAGCCACTGTGGTGGAGGCCGAGGCAGAGACGTTAAGGGGCAATCAGGCCGGCAGGCAGAGGCAGTTAGGGGTGATCAGGCAGGCAGGCAGAGAGGTTAGGAGCCAGCGGTCCTGGATTGTAAGAGGGATGTCCGATGCCTGGGATCGGGCCTAAACAGGCAGTCGGACATCCCCTGAGGGGTCCCAGATTGGAGAGGGTTCAGGTCGGGCTGAGGGACCACCCCTCCCCCCCTCCCCGCACGAATTTCATGCACCAGGCCTTTAGTTATTAATAATGAACTACAACATTCGCTAAGGACTGATTACTATAATTGTATTGCATTAATTTCCCTTACGCACCTTACGTGCAGGTGCACCATTTCTCCCCACTAATACTAGCAGCAAATATCTTAGCAGCCCATTGACACGTCATTAGTCTTGGACTGACTTGTTTGCTGTGCGCAACAGGAAATATTTCACTTTCAGAGAACAAGAAAAATAGGTTTATTTGCGTTATGCTTATTTGTGCAGTTATTCAGTGTCTGGTAAGTTAATGTTCAAGAAAAAATATTAATTTTTTTATTAAAATGTCCTATTATTTTATGTTAACAATTACTCATTTATTTCAGCTCTTTGTATTCATCATGTCTCTATCGAAATAAACCTACGTTTCTATGAAAATTGAAGCTTTTGTTTTTTTGTGGCCCACATAAACTTAAACCTTGTTTATTTGGCCCGTGTTAGCCTTTGAGTTTGACATGCTTGGTATACACGTTTATGCTCCTTGCCATAAAGTGTATGTTCAGAAGCAGCATGGATGCTCTTATACTATACCATTGACATTGTGAAACCCAATGTGATTTAGAGCCTTTGCACAGTATTGAAGCCCTTGAACTATCCTTGACCACAGAATCCTACTAATCTTGTCCTCCCAAGTTAATGGTTCTCAGTGTTTTTAGTTTTTTAATTCCTTCATTCAACCAGCATTTATTGGATGTTACTATATGGAAAGCATTGACTATAAAATACTAGTCTCTAAATTATTTATGTTATGAAAAATCACATATGACCTTAGAAGTGGTTTTAGTACAAACACACCATTTATCACATTTGCCAGGTTAATGAAAATGGGAGGATATGCTGTCTTTTTAGTGTCTTGTGGCCTCACATAATAGTGCATGAAACAAAAATAAAGAGAAGCATTTTCTGTCAGTAACCAAACAAAATGTTATGCCCAGAGCCAGAGGTGAGACCTGCCTCTGACAGACCTTTTATTGTACTTATAATCTGTTCTATTTTTAACTCTCTAGTTGTCGCTGACATATATTTAATTGGATACTAAAGGAAAAGCAAGGCCTGTTGTTGGAACTGGAGAATTTCAGAATAGGCCTAGGGTAAAAGCTATCTAAGAAAGAAAACATTTGAACTCATACATCTGGTACATGAAATTAAAACTATGAAGAGATGACTGTCTAGGAAAGGGGGTGTAGAGGGCATGTAGTTATAAATTGCAATTGTACCATTATGCTGCTTACTCTAGCTTGAGATTTTGAATTGTCAAATACAATTACTTTGCTTCACAGGGATGTCGCCTCAAAAAATGGCCTTAAGACATTTTTCTCTCGAGAAAATTATAAAGATCATTCCATGGCTCCAAGTTTGAAAGAACTATGTAATTTATCTAACAGGTAATATGTTTATTTATTTGGTTAACTATTTCCATATTTGGTTGTTATTTTTCTGATAGTTGAAGTTTTATATCTGTCTGTATTCACTACTAAAAATTCAAATTGCAGAAATGTAAAAATTAGAAAACAGAAGAACCCAGTGACCACTCTTTAGTATATATCTTTCAGCCCTTTCCCCGCCCATGAACAGATAGATATGTATTAAAACAAAAATAGGGTCACATTATAAATACTATGTAATACCATAAATACTATATTTTATAGTTTGTTTTTTCATTTAAAATAATATTTCCTGGATCTTTCTATGCCCCTGCATATGTAGCTCAATCTTCTTGATGGTTGTATATTATATATTATAAAAGTGTACTTTTTAATTCATTTAGCTAGTTTTATATTGCAAAATGTTGTGTTCCTCTTTTTTTGAAGTTATAAACAATACATTGATGAACTTTTTGTAATTATTTCTGAGATAAATTCATATAAATTTCATTGTTTGGCCAGAGGGTATATACATTTTATATTTTAATAGATACTGCCAAAATGCCAGAGATTTTTTTTCACTCTCTGGTATGAAATGCCCATTAAGTGATAATTTTCCCTTCTCACTGCTTACCTGCCTCTAACAGTTCTTTCTTTTGTGATCAGTTGTTTCTACTGTTTGTGGATGGATCCTGAAACCAAATAATCAGGTTTACTAGAAAGGAGTAAATATGCCAAAAAGGAATTAGGAAGCTCCCCATGTATTTTCATCCTTTGACCATGCCTTTTGCGGTGGAGGAAGTATTATTTCCAGCCTCTTCATCCAATAGGAACCCCATCTTTCCCTGCCTTCTCAGTACCCTTTCTGTCAGTTAGCATCCCCTCTTACTTCTATGCCTTTGTTCTCTCTTGTCAGTGCAGGCCTGCCTCATTATACTGAACCTCACAGGTGTGTGTTATTACAAATTGAAGGCAAGACCAATACCTGCAAAAAAGTTACAATTCACTTTATTTCAAAACTTACTTTATTGCAGGAGTCTGGAATGCAACCCACAATAATTTGCAAGGTATTCCTGTATTTCAAAGTGCTCAAGTTTTTCTGTCTCTAATCCCTGGACTCCAGATTCCCTTCTAGTTACTTTTTTATTTCTTTGCTCATTTATACTTAGACTCCTTTAAAGACTTGTATATACTTGCAATATACAAGGAGGAAATAGGGGACAAAAATACTGTATAACACAATGCAGAAAACAACAGACAAGGCAATAGTAAGTCCTTCCCTATCAATAATTACTTTAAATGAATTAAACTCTCCAATCAAAAGACATATTGGGAGAATGGGTTTTAAGAACAGTATAAAAAAAACTCCTTTCCTTCAGTCCAGTGAAAGCAAGCTCGCTGGACTTGTTTTCAATGAGCATCACACTCTAATCTGGATTTTACTGTCTTTAGTCTAAGATTGTTCCTCTCAAGATCTAGGAGCTATTGACTACAGAGATATCTCACTCTTAGGTTTCTGGTGACTGTGGTATTTCTCAGTCTCTTTTGCCATCTTCATTGTCAGGCTTACCATGCTGGCTCATCAGATTGTGGAGCTTTTAAAAAAACTGATTTTGCACTCTCAACCCAACCTTTTGAATTTGAACCTTTGAGGATGTGTCTGTGGAATCAGTTAATTAACACCGTTGATACTCATTTAGGTCATCTCCGTAGCAAACAGTGAGCATCCTTTTTATACATGTGCTGGTATAAGAACTAGGAAAAATTTCTGTAAGATGTGGGTATGCATGTGTTTTTTATTTTGATACATAATTGCCAGATTGCCATTAAAAGCATTAAAGAAACAAGTACTTTTTCATTCCATCAAATTAATACATAGGTTCACGTTAAAAGCAAGCAAAAATTATATTAAAGAGACAGTTGGAAAAAAAAAAGACAGTTGAAAAGAAAATGTTTTTAAAAAGGCAATTTCAGAAGCAGTATTCTTCTTTCCAAACTACATAATTATGTGTTTGCTAATATCAGCTATAGACAGGTAAGACCATAGATCCCTTATGAATGTGCACCTATAGCTGTTTTTTTAAAGCTATTTCTGTTATTCAACTGTACCGTTTCTTAGGGATAACTATTTTTTTTAAATTTATCTTTATTGGTGAAAGTATTACAGATGTCCCCTTTTCCCCCCCACCCCCCTGCCCCTTCCTCTCCACTCTTAAAACTTATTAATGAAATAAAGAATTGTCTTCTTTTATTTGAATAAAAGAATACCTACCAATTCTAGTATTCTGGAATTCAGCAAATATATATCTTTATCTTAAAAACATAAACATTTCAAGAACTTTTATCTCAGCCTTTCTTTTTTTTATCAGACTAAAAATTTGTAATATTAATCTTCCTTAATCTGCCACTGCTTCTTCATTATTTTAATGGTTCTTACTTCTGTTTAGCATATCCCAGGTGTAGATTATAGTCTGGATTATGTAAGGGAGAGGACATTTTTGCTGGCAGTTGGGCTCACTTAACTCCTAAAATTTATTTTTCCTATAGTATGCGTGTCTTTCTTTAGATTTCTATATAGCATAAAATAATTTATTATTATGACTTACCTTTTAGTATAGAAAAAATAAAGACAAAGGCATTGATTCCATTTATTTCTAGTCTTTTTGGCTAACCTTGAGTTTTATTAAGTTTTACAGTAGGGAATGGATTTTCAGACTATTAATTTACAACTGTTTTCTTGATGGAAAACTAGGAAGAATATAACATTTTTGTTAGCTTTAATTTTGTATTTCTCTTGTGTTTTCTAACATTTGGAAAAATATTAATAACTCTAACTGCACTACATTTAACAATGTGAAGTTTTCATTCAACCCTTCATTGAAAGGTAAACATTTGCCTTTTTTCCAAATTAAAGTGTCCGGTTGTAGATATTTATAACTGAGTTTCCAACAAGGGGGAAAGTAGTTGTAAATAGAAAAATAATTATCAAATTTCAACATGTTTAATATAGAAAAGTTAATCAAATTCAAGAGGTACAGATAGACTTCAGATGGAGATTACAAGCACCATTTCCAAATGCTACTTAAAGAAGCTGCCCAATCCAGTAGATTTAAAATTAAGAAACTTGAAGTTTTGAATTCTGCCTTTTTTCCATAGAAACTTTAAGTAAAAAAGGAGAATGGGTAGTAGACAAAATGAAGTGTGAAAACTTCAAACCATCAACTGAAATAAAATATAATGCTGTAAATGTGGTTAGAGAAACCCTGTCAGATGCTTTTGGCTTGCACCCTGATGAAGATTTTGACAGCACTGCACACGGAAATGATCTTGATGTGCTGCCATTTCATTCTTTGCTGAATGTAGCCAATTTAAACTGCTAGAATTTCTTGACATTCCTACTCTGGCATATCTGAGTCAGCATCTTGTTGCTGCAGCAGCTTAATTAAATTTGCCAGTTTGTGCCACAAGGACAGACATGTTCCCATATTCAGAGAGACAGCTGTGAAGCAGTATTGTTAAGAGTTGCGGACACAATACTGTTAGGTTTGAATAGCTCTCAAGACATTTTCTAGTGAGAAATCAATTTGCTGTGATACATTTCTCCCAAGATCAGCAGTTAATATTCATTTTGTTAACCAAAAATGTGCTTATTTTTTACAGTTATTGGAGAAACTTTAGTCACTAAGTATGTCTTTTTTACTTATATTATTTTCAGAGTCAATCTAATCATCCTTATTTTAATTTGTATAATTCTTTCCCACCCATTAATAACCTCTCTTGATTAGCTTTCCATCTATTGTTTATCTCTGAAAGAGTGGTCTTAAATATTTCTGCTTTATTTTGGGACCCTAAAGTCATTTTCTAAAAATTCTGGAATTTTTACCATATATATTTTTTAGTATTATAAAGTTGGTTTAAAACAAGTCAGTGTTAGTTTTAGGTGTAGCTTAACTCACCCTTTGTCCAGATACAGATCTAGTTTGGTAATTCTCAACCTTAATCAGACTAAAAACCTCCCATTTTTCATAACAAATATTTAAAAGAAATAAAACACCTTCTTTGCTAGCCTGAATTGAAATTCATAGGTAATAATAGCCACAGACATAATATTTAGAAATAATGTCCTAGATATATAAATGTGAAATAAAAGAAAAATATATTCTAATATGTATTTTAATATGTGAATGCCTCATTTCTACTGCACTAAAAGATATAATGAAGTAGTCAGATGCACCAGCTAAAATGAATAAGGTTGAATTTAACACGTTAAGCGCCATGTAGTCACCAGTGACTGACACTATACTTTCCGTCCGGATCTCGTCAGTCTTCAGCCACCAGCATTATCGGTGAAATCAGATATTGCGGGCTAAATTGAAAGGAAGGCGAAATAGGCTTGGCTCCTAACGTTTTAAAAGAAGATAAACTATACCATAAAACAGTGATTTTCAATTGGTGTGTTACAAGAATTTTAAAACATTCAATGCCTGGGACACTGACCTTTTTTCCCTTAGGTTGTCAGATAAAAAACATGACAACAGCCAACACAACAAGAGCTGCCTGGTGTGAATAAATCAAAGTAATACCTTTTTTTTGGTTCAGATCAGCAAACCAACATTTTTTTTGGTGTTCCACAGAATTTTAGTACTTAGTTTGTATGCCATGAGATGAAAATAGGTTGAAAATCATTGCCATAAAGGAATCATAAGAAATTCAAACAATAAAATGTATTGTTAAGTAATAACAGATCAGATTTATTTGTGTATGATAACAGAAAGCCTGAAGAAACCTTTGAAAGTTGTGCAGGACAGCACCATGTTATAGGTAGGTAGTATTCCTCACTTTTAAATGCCTTTAATTCTTTCCCTCTTTTTTTACAACCCAGATGCACCCACCGGCTTCCAAAATGCCCTCAGAGAATTAATACTGTCACAATTGAGAACCTCTGCTCTGGATATTTCTTGTCCCTCCCCTTTCTCCCTCTTAATCTATGATCTGGATGTCTTTAGGATTCTTTTTAGTCACTTATTCAGTGTGTTCAGTTTGGAAACCTGAGAGCTCCATAGTCACATTGTATTGATGTACATATTTGCCTTTCATTTTTCCCCATTCAGTTGTCTGATCTACTTGATTGTAACATCCTAGCAAGTAGAGATTGTATCATGTTCGATGTTGGTTGCATCTCCACTACCTAACATAGGACTGGCACATGGTAGTCACTCAATAAGTTTTAATTAATGGAGGAATGAAAACTGAATCAACAGACATCCATCTTTTTCATTACTTTTCTTTCCTCTTGGATTAACATTAATTTGGAACTAATTCATAGGGAATAGTTACTGTCTTGGAAATTAGAGTTGTTGAGGCTGTGTGAGTGTACTTTAAAACTTGTTAAGAATAAAGATTACAACAACCAAATATCAGGGGAAACGCTTCCAAAGTGAATAATTTGTCTAAGAATTATGCCTCTTCCTCTCCATCAGATAATTGAAGGTAAGCTTATAATGCGATCCTATCCTACAGAATACTTAATTTACACCAAATAGCTAAACATCAAAGTGCAGGTGGCAAAGTTAGATAATAATTCAGAATTTACTGTGTTAATCACGCTATATTCTTCTTGGTGGTTAAGAATCATGAGGTTTCATGATAGAAATCTTCATGTGAAAAGCACATATTTGTAAATTGTTTTTGTTTTTTTCCAGACGTATAGGAGAGAATTTGAATGCCTCAGCAAGTTCTGTAGAAAATGAGCCGGCGGTTAGTTCAGCAACTCAAGCAAAGGAAAATGTTAAAACCACAGTTGGAATGGTTCTTCTTCCAAAACCAAGAGTTCCTTATCCTCGTTTCTCTCGTTTCTCACAGAGAGAGCAGAGGAGTTACGTTGACTTGTTGGTTAAATATGCAAAAATTTCTGCTAATTCCAAAGCTGTTGGAATAAATAAAAATGACTACTTGCAGTACTTGGTATGTATTCTATTAATTATTAGATACTTTTAATTCTTTAAGACAAAATAATTAGAGCAATGATTGAGAAGTGATTGTTTTTAACCAAACTTCTTATTCCACAACATGTCTACTTTTTTAAAAATTAGGATATGAAAAACCACGTAAATGAAGAAGTTACTGAATTCCTAAAGTTTTTACAGAATTCTGCAAAGAAATGTGCACAGGATTATAATATGCTTTCTGATGATGCACGTCTCTTCACAGAGGTAAAAAAATTACTTAAACTGCCAAGTAATAGTCAATAGCAGCATTTTTAATTGTGTGATGATCCTGTCAAATGCATATGGAAATAACAGTATTATCGATTTAGAGACCAAATCGTAGGTAGGGTTTTTATAGTCATATTTAAATAATAGAAATGCTGTGCTTACACCTCAAAATCATGTACTATAGTATATTCTTTTTTCTTTTACTGAGGCAACTACCATACTGTATTTGAGAGTTATGTTTTACTCACATGGATGGTTTGATCAGATGCACTGATTTCCCTTGTGAGAGAATGGGTGTTCAAGGAGTTAATTTAGTCATTAAAAATCTGAATGGTCCTTTAAAGCTTAGTCACATAAATTTGCATTTATTGTCTTCATGATAGCTAATCACCAAATAATAAATTTCAACTGTGAGTTCATTTTTTTATAAAAATCATCCATGCAAATTTACTAGCAAAGCTTGTGTCTTGCACCCTACCATCATTCAGTGAGCCTAGGAAAATTTAGAGTAACCTACTTAAATAGTTACTTTTAGTATATACAGTTGACCTTTGAACAACACAAAGGGTGGGGTTGCTGACACCCTACATTGTTGAAAATTTGTGTATAACTTTTAACTCCCCCAAAACTTAACTACTAATAGCCTCTGTTGACTAGCAGCCTTACCAATAACATAATTGGTTAATACGTATTTTGTATGTTACATGTATCATACTGTATTCTTACAATAAGGTAAACTAGAGAAAAGATAATGTCATTAAATAAATTATAAGTAAGAGAAAATACATTTACAGTATTTATTGAAAAAAAATCTGCATATAAGTGAACCTATGCAGTGCAACACCATGTTGTTTAAGGGTCAACTGTATTAACCCTTTGAGTGCCAACCAATATCCTAGGAACTATGCTAAAATTGCCAAGGCATTTTTGCTGATTTTACAGCAGTTTAGGAAAAAAATTATGAATCGCAAGTAAATGAAGTTACATATTCAAAAACTTAAGGAAACCTTTACTACATTTGTTTTCATCTTTGACATATATTGTTTGCTGATTGTATTATAAAATACTAGTAGAAAAAAAAATTTGAACAAAACATACAATGTTAAAATAGAGGGACACCCTTCTCCAATATCTTCCACACAATCGTCATCTTCACAGCAAAAATTGACATATTTAGCAATATCATCATCACTAATAAAAGCAGACTTAGAACTGGACGCCATTTCGAAGCTTTAGGGCTACAAAATCTGAGTAAACTTCATAAAATCGTAGTACCTGTAAAAAATTAGGCAGATAAATGCCAGTGGTCAATTTTAGAACTAAAAACATTCAGCATCATAAGTAATCTGCACTTAGGTGCCATCTGTCAATAAAGAGTGAACTACTAGCATCTAATAGTGACACTGCAGGAGGAGCGCAATAGCGCTCCCAGCACTTTTGGCGAAAGACAGGAGGAGTGCGATCGCACTCCCCGGCACTCTAGGGGTTAATATCCCTTCATTTCACTGGTTTAAACCATCTTATCTCAGAAAGAGACAGTCTACAAAGATCACACTCCCACCCCCCAGCCTGCTTCATCTTCAACATACCTTCCTCCCAGTTGTTCCACATCAGCCGACTGGCCTCTGTGTCTCTTGAATAGTCCTTGAGGCCTTTTTGGCTGTTATCTTTCTGGCAAGCTGTTCCCCAGCTATCTGCGTGGATTAGTTCCTTGATTACTTTAAGTCTCTCTGTTCAGATGCCAACTATCAATGAGGATGTTCCTAATTACCCTCCAAAAAATAGCATCACCCTTACTATTTCCTTTCCAGGTTTTATTTTTGTTTTTTGTCTTTTTCACAATGAATGTCTTAGTTCATTTCAAGTTATGTTTTGGGCAAGATGTGAGGTTTGGATCAAAATTCATTTTTCTTTCATATGGGTAACTAGTTCCAGTTTAGTGATTTTCAACTGAGAGTGATTTTGCCTCCCAGCAGATGTCTGGAGACATTTTTGGTTGTCACAGTGAGAAAGGAGTACTTCTGGCATCTAGTGGGCAGAGCCAGGGATGTTTTTAAGTATCCTACAATGTGCAGGACAGCACAAAGAATTACCTGGTCTAAAATTTCAATAGTGCCAATGTTGAGAAGCTCTGTCTAAAACCATTGGCTGAAATGACTGTTTCTCCCCTCATTGAATTGCCATATCACCGTGGAAGCGTGGGCCATAATTCTATTCCATTAGTCTATATATCTGACTTTATGCCAATACCTCCTAGTCTTGTAGTAAGTTTTGAAATCATGTGGTGGAAGTCCGATAGCTTTGTTCTCTTTTTTAATTGTTTTGGCTCTTTTGAGTTCTTTGCATTTCCATGTAAATTTTGGTCACAGCTTGTCAATTTCTCAAAAAATCTAGGTAGGATTTTAATTGGGATTGCTTTGATTCTGTAGAACTTGTATTTTACAGATACCTTCTAAAATAGTGTTCAACTAGATTGCCTTTTTTCTTTTTAAATAAAATGATCATCTTTTTTAATTAGAAAATTTATTCATTTACATTTATTATGATAATTGCCATATGGACTCTTTATAATTTCTACTTGTCTTACTTTTTCTAATCTTCTTTCTTTTGCTTCTTTTAAGGGGATTGACTCCCTCCACCCTGCCTTTTCCCCTCTCGGTTGATTTGGTACTTATACATTGTTTTGGTTTTTTGTTCTCTTAGTGGTTGGTTACTCTTGAATTTTTACAATGAATTTTCCCACTTGTTGAATTACCTTGTTACCATTGATGTGTGGGTCAGTTTCTTAACTTGATTCTCTCCTATTAATCAGTATACCTCCAAAGACCATAGAGCATTTTGACTCGTATCACATCCTCCTGACTGATAATGTTTTAATGCTGTCTTTCTTAAAAACCTAACTATATTACTATTTTACACAATGTTTTTTTTTTATCTAAAAATATTTACTTTTTTGTCTTTTTATTCTCTAATCTACAATCTGAGCTCCTCTTCATTATTCCTGAAATACTGTATGTTCTACTTGTTTCTTTGAGGAAGGTCTCTTGATGATAATCCTTATTTTAATCTGGAAGTATTTTTATTTTGCTCTTATTCAATTCCAAACATAATTGTAAGTTCACAGTTTGCTTTTTTGCTTATATACTAATATATAAAAAGCCAGGGGCTGTCATGAGCTAAACGACCGGATGGACGACTGAACAACATGGCTAACGGGGGAACTGGGGTCCCTCAGGCTCTGATGAATCCATGGCAGCAGTGACTGGGGAGTGGGCGGAAGGCAGACCTCTTGGTCTCTCCCCCGGCCGGCAGGCTCCCATTGATCAGGGGATGTCTAACAGGGGAACTGGGGCCCCTCAGGCTCTGATGAATCTGTGGCAGCAGCGACTGGTAAGCAGGTGGGCAGAAGACAGACAGCTTGGTCCTTCCTCCCGGCCCTCAGACTCCAATCAATTGGTGGCGGAGGCGGGGTGGAACTGGGGACTGGCTCCCTTAATAGTCCTGCAGGTTCAATCTCCAGAGGACAGGCCAGGCACCAACGGACCAGCGCCGCCAGCATGATCCCAACAGAGCTGCCGGCCTCCTGGAACTCGGCCTTGGGCACTGCGGCCACTTACCTTCCATAGACACTCCACAAGGAAGAAAGGATACTGCCAGCAGCGCCAGGGGCGACCAGCAGTGACTGCTTTCCCGTGCTTCCTCTAGGTCACTCGAGCTGGGCCCCCGCCCACCACACTCCAGATGAAGTGTGAGCACTGCACACAGAAGGAATATAGTAAAAAACAAAAACGGATGACCAAGAGAATGCTGAAGTCAACGTCTGGAGTCCGGCTCAGGAGAATGGAGAGAAGGGAGAAATCCATAAGTTGGCCGATGCCAAGATATTTCTGAGTGACTGCCTGGCGTGTGACAGTTGTGTGACCGCAGAGGAAGGAGTCCAAATTTCTCAACAGAACACCAAGGACTTCTTCTGTGTTCTGAACCTTAATAAGAAATGTGATACCTCACAGCACAAGGTGCTGGTAGTGTCTGTGTGTCCTCAATCTCTGCCTTATTTTGCTGCTAAATCCAGCCTCAGTGTCACTGATACATCCAGAAGGCACAGCGGCTTCCTCAAAAGCCTTGGGGTGCACTGTCTTTGACATGAAGATAGTTGCGGACTTCAGCATCCTGGAGAATCAGAAGGAATCTGTGCGTCGATACTGCCAGCACTGCGAGGAAGAGCCCCGGCTACCCTTGCTGACCTCCGCCTGCCCCGGCTGGGACCGATATGCAGAGCGCGTGCTGGGTCACCCCATCACCCCCCACCTCTGCATGGCCAAGTCTCCCCAGCAGATCATGGGCTCTCTGGTGAAGGATTACTTTGCCAGACAGCAGAACCTGTCCCCAGACAAGATTTCCCACGTCATTGTGGCCCTGTGTTATGACAAGAAACTTGGAGGCCCTTTGAGAAAATGTTCCCACAGCTTTGCATGGTTCCCAGGGTGCTGACTGCGTGTTAACTTCAGGTGAAATTGTCTAGATATGGGGCAAAGTGACCTCGCCTTGAATGACGCCGCCGTGGACCCTCTGGAGACATGAAGGAGGAGGAGGTGAGGCTCCACGAGGGGGCCAGCTCCGACGGGTACCTGGCGCACATCTTCAGGCACGTGGCCATGGAGCTATTCAACGAGGATGTGGGGGTGCTCACCTACCGCACCCTGAGGAACAAAGACTTCCAGGAGGTCACCCTTGAAAGGGACGGAGAGGTTCTGCTACGCTTTGAGGCTGCTTACGGCTTTTGGAACATCCAGAACGTGGTCCTGAAGCTGTAGAGGGGCAAGTTCCCCTGCCACTTCGTGGTGGTCCTGGCCTGCGCCGGGGATGCCTGCGCGGCAGGGGCCAGGCCCAGGCGAGGACGGGCGTGCAGACAGGGCACTGCTGCGGCAGATGGAAGACGTCTACGCTGCCATCCCAGTGTGGCCCCCCAGAGACCAGCGCCCATGTGCAGGAGCTGTACCAGGAGTGGCTTGGGAGAGCGGGGGAGGCGACTCCCCCCGGGCCCAGGCGGCCCTGCACAGTGCCTAGCAGGGCCCTGGGCAGCCTGCCAGGACATCAAGTGGTAAAGGTCCAGCAGACGCCCGGCCGGCAGGCCACCTGAGGAGGGGTGTCAGACGCGTGAAGGAAAGGGTTAGCATCTCTGTCATCGCTTTGGTTTTCAGAATTCCCTGCTCCCCATCTGTCATCTCCCTCCCTCTGAGGGGCGTTGTCGTCGTCACATTGGTGCAACTGGAATATTGTATCTCAAGAGGATTGCCCCAATGTACGTATCCTTTTATCCAACGATGAAAAAATCCCAAAGAACAAGAATGGAGACAGACTACTGTCCTTTAGGCTTAAAAAATCCCCGGAAGTGTCCTGCGAAGAGCTGAAACTTGGTTTTGTCCACGCACCTCAGAGAGATTGGATGAGGAAATGGCCCGGCTTGGCCCTGGCTTTACCCACTTACGTTACTCTTGAAGGTGTCTTTGCGACAATGTGAATGAACTGCCACCTTTTGGAATAGGGGTTCATACGAAAGTCTGCATTCCCAACTTTTCTTGAAACAGATCTATGTTCTGCAGCTGTGGCCACCGTCCTGAGATCAGGTCCTGTTGACCAGGTCCTGTTGCTGGGAATCAGGGGGCACTGGGGTGGAGGCCTTGTTTGTTATGGTTCGATTCCTGGTCAGGGCACATGACTGGGTTGCAGGCTTAATCCCCAGTGTGGGGCATGTAGGAAGCAGCCCTGATCAATGATTCTCATCACTTATGTTTCTATCTCTCTCCCTTTCCCTTCCTCTCTGAAATCAATAAAAATATATTAAAAAATAATAACATTCAGTGGATGAATGATGGGAAACAACCTGAGTCTCTTAACCTTCTTTATTCACTCACTCTTAGCTGTTTTTCAAAGACAAATTATTAGTTAAAAAACCCTTGTAGTTAAATAATGTTTCTTTAGTTGCTTAATGCCTACCAGTTGTGAAATACCTTTAATAATATATAACGTATGGAGTATAGGAATAAAACTCTCTTAGATTTTCCTTTGACTCTTTCTCTTACCATAATTATTGAATTTAGGGTAACTCAGTTAAAAGCACTGTGGCATGTAGCATTTTTACCATGAAAAACGTGCTAATAAACATCTAGCCAGAATAGTCTCTATATCGCATAGTGATTATATATTGTTTTCCTTTGCATGTTCAAATTCTTGCAAATACTGCCATATGACAGGAACGTTAGGGAGAAGGGGGGTGGGGGAGTTAACTAACTAGTGAAAGTTAATATTATAAATGAAGAACAAAATCTTATGCTGATCCGAGTTTGCAGTTAACTAAGGTTTTTAAAAAACAGAACTTTTCTATGTTAACCTGCATCAGCCTTAGTTGCAAATAATATTCTGAATTAAATATTAAGGCCAGTATTGAAAAGTATGAATTGGAGGGAGGGGAATTTGAAAGATAGCTAGGAGCGAAGATTAAGAGGGGAAGAAGGAAATATGAAACTATAGATGAAAAGATATACTATAGCAAAGTTATTGATTTGTAGCTTTACATATTTTATGAATGTCTAAAGGGAAAGGAGATACACATATAGTATAAAGACATGCTTATTGCTAAGAGCTTTTGTGATGTAAAGTATATTCTAAGTCTCAGATTTGATTAATTGACAAGAAGAAAAAAATACTTAGGAAATAATACCTTTGTATTTTTAAAATTATAAACCCCCACTGCCACCCAAAACTGCTGTTCTCCTTTGAGTTATCTGCATGTTATTACAAGTGGCATATAGTAGTATTCTGCTTGGGTAAAGCTGTGAGTTTTATTTCCTTCCTGATTACATTTCCTGGTAAGTTATTAATATTTTGGAAACAGTTTAGAGAGAAAAAACATACTCCATATTTGATTTAGTTACAACATTTCTCATTTATTTTTTAGATTGCAGATTAGAATGACATATAAGGCAACTACTTCATTAATTCCTGTGCTTGGGAATCTTTTAAGGATATTAAACTTACTTATTTCTAATTATTCATAAAACAACTTCTATTGCAGTAAAGTGTGTTGAAATTTTCATGTGCCTTTATTTCCTTGACAATTTTTTAAATAGTATAGAAAATATATCTTCTCTATTTCATTTTAAATTTTAATACAATTGCTCATTTTAATATTATCAAATATCAGCATTTTAAGAAATTAGGTTTAAAAGAATTGTTATAAAAAAAATGAGATTACATTAAACAAGGAATATACAATATGCTTGGATTGTTAGAAATTTGAGTAATGAAATGAGGCTATATTGCCAGTGAACAATTATATAATCATATGTAACTAACTTATTTTTGTTGGATTATTAGAGAAGTACAATACAAATGAATTTATTTTGGTTTTTATTTTCTAGCAAATTTTAAAAGCTTGCATTGACCAAGTGAAAAAGTATCCAGAATTCTATACTCTTCATGAAGTCACCAGTTTAATGGGATTCTTCCCATTCAGAACAGAGATGGGATTAAAGTTAGAAAAAACTCTTCTTGCACTGGTAAGGCTTGCCATATGAAAGTATATACTTATTTTTGTTTGAAACATAATCTGTATTTCACATAGACAACATTTGTGTTTAAATTTTGAATAATAATGAGATACAGCTTTATGGATATCAATACTTGATGTTTTTAAAAATGTCACTACCCACTTTATTTATTGATTTTCTTTTCTTAGAGTTCCCATCTTACTGAATATAAACAGGAAGCCTCCCCGCCCCCCTTTTTTTAAGGGATTTTACACACAATTATACTGAAAGTAAGTGTGTGTGAAGAGGATATTTTAGATTTTCTCCTATACCCTGTGATGGTATGTTCCTCATCAAATGAGAGGTTAAAGTGGCAGGAAAGATTCCATGGTACCCTTCTCTTGGACCCTTTTTAAAAAATATATATATGGTGGGTGTCAAGCAAAAACATTATAGTCTTGCCCTGGCTAGTATACTCATTGATTAGAGCATCAATGACCTGTGACTGAAGGGTCCCAAGTTCAATTCCGGTAAAGGTCAACCAATCAGTGTGTCTCTCTCACATGGGTGTTTCTCTGTCTCTCCCCCCTCCCTTCCACTTTGAATAAAAATCAATGGAAAAATAACCTCAGGTGAGGATTAACAACAACAACAACAAAACGTCTTGACTTAAGGCTCTAAATTTGACATTTGCATTTAATAGAATGAAGAATTTTTACTTTAAAGTTTCCTATGATGAAAAGATACTTGGGGGAAAAATACATCAAGATTTTTGTAATAAGCAATGATTTCATTCTTATTTAGGGTAGTGTGAAATATGTGAAAACAGTATTTCCCTCAATGCCCGCAAAATTGCAGCTCTCAAAAGATAACCTATCTACCAATGAAATACCAGAACAAACAGCTGCAGCTATGCATTATGTAAGTATGAAAGTGGTTTGGGATGGGATCTCTATAAGTAATCTTCTGTACCTCATAAAGTACAAATAATCTGATTCTTTTAAAGTTTCCTTCAATTTCCTTTTTGTTATTTTAGTAAAGAAATTTCCAGTAAGTATAATGAAGTAACAGGGTATATTTTGTTTTTCAGGACATTAGTAAAGATCCAAATGCAGAGAAGCTTGTTTCAAGATATCACCCACAGATAGTTCTAACTAGTCAATCATTATTTGCCTTATTAAATAATCATGGACCGGACTACAAGGAACAGTGGGAAATTCCAGTGTGTATTCAACTAATACCTGTTGCAGGTTTGTGATTTGCCATGTCAAGTAATGCTCTTAACAGAGGAGTTGGAATGGTTCTATTTCAGCTGTCTAAACACAGGTAGTTATTTGTCAAATACAAATATCTAAGTTTTGATTTAAGGAGGATATAAGTTTAATACTTATACTCAATAGAACTTTTTAAATAGAGCTACCACAGAATTGACACTCATCTAAATATATATAAGAGCCTAAGTGACCTTTATGACAGAATGACCGGTCGACCAGTCCCTATGACTCAACTCAGGAGCTGCCCCCCTGGTGGTCAGTGCACTCCAACAGCCAACCTGGCCCCTCCCCCTGACCGGCCCCCCTTTGGCCCCTGGTGCTAAACCATTTGTAGAGACCTGCTTCTGGGTCGGGGTTTCGTACGTAGCATAGCAGCTCCCTCACTGCAATCTATTGAAATTCAGCCCTTGACACAGGGATTTGTCTTGCTCCCATTCTCTCACTTCCCTGGGGGCCACCCACCTGCCACGGTGAGGGAAGGAGGAGAGGGGGAGGCAGCATCCGACATTTGTTCCTTCTGCACCTGGCCCAGCGGCTGTCTCCTCCTCTCTCTACCCCATTGGAGCCTTTGGGCCCCAGGCTGGTATGAGGAACTGGGGGTGGGTGGTGGCGGACGTGGCCCCTTTCCAGGGGGGCCAAGGGCTGGCTCCCTTCTTGGGGCCAGTGGCCACCCTCCCGCAGTCCATTACCCATTCGGCCAACCTCCCACGTTCCCTCCTCCCCCGCCCCCCCCCCCCCGCCCCCGCCACCATGCATGAATTCATGCACCTCGCCTCTAGTCTATATACACTGAGTGGCCAGATTATTATGACTGGCCAGATTATTATGACCACCCCATCAGTACTTCGTTGGGCCACCTTTTGCTTTCAATACTGTGGCGATTCTTCTTAGCATTGACTCCACGAGATGTTGATAGGTGATGCGAGGAATCTGATACCATGCACTGTCAAGTTCTGTGAGATTTGATGGTTGTGGAACCAGCTGCCTGATGGCTCTTTTAACTTCGTCCTACAAATGCTCAATTGGATTGAAATCTGGTGATTGTGGGGGCCACCTAAGCAAGGTAAAGTCTCCCTCATGTTCTTGAAACCACTCCTGCACAATATGAGCACCGTGGCATGGCACATTGCCTTGTTGGAAGAAGCCATCTCCATTGGGATATGCCATCAACATGATAGGATGAACTTGATCAGCAACGATACTTAGGTATGTTGTGCTATTCAGGACGTTTATAATTATCTGGCCCTCTAGCAACTTCAGAGCGAAATTATTGCTAATTTGCCTACAAACGTCAGGTGGTCATAATAATCTGGCGACTCAGTGTATATAAAAGCCTAAGCGACTGTTACAGCCAGTTGACCAAACAACCAGTCACTATGACGGGCAGATGCTCAACACAGGAGCTCTCCCCTGGTGGTCAGTGCACTCCCACAGCCAACCTCCCACGGGTGGCCAACCTCCCGTGGTCCCTCCCCCTGGACTGGGCAAGATGGCCCTGATCGCTGGCCAGGCTGAGGGACCCCACCCGTGCATGGATTCATGCACCGGGCCTCTAGTAGATAAGTTATATCTATAGAACCTGTACTCATGTTGAGGGGTGAGAGGTATTAGAGAAATAATTATAGTTTAGGGTGACTAAAAACACATGAAATGGTCAGGTTCTTCTATCTTTTAATGAAATGAAAGGAATGCAATACTTCATTAGACACGCTCAAATGGGTGAGTACTTGTCTGTTATTGGAATTCAGAATTAAAATAGGTCTATACTTATGAGCATAGGATAATCTGTCTATTGACAGTAAAATTATATTTGCATATAAATTCCTCTGTACAAAAGATTATTCCCCTTCAGTTTTGGTTCATATTTAGTAGCTTTTTCTTATATTCCAGAATTAATAATATTATATGTGACAACATAATTATAGTAAATGAAGGACTGTGTCTAATGAAACAAAACTGCAAATGTAATATATTCTCTGGTAAAAATTTCATTACATGTCGAAACCATAATCCTATAAGATCTGAGTATTAATGACAGGAAAAGTATAATAATAAAATAAATCCTTTTAAAAATTATTAGAAAAAATATATATTTTTCTTGCCAGTTAGATTCTCTGGTCCTTAGATCTCTAAGGGATTTTAAAGATGTTCTGGTTCAGGGGTGCCAGATATTTGGGCTTGTGCTACCACTTTCTTACCCATGCCTCTTTGTTTAGTGATCCTTCTAGCATACATTCTGGGTTTTTTCCCTAAATATCACTACTAGAAACTAATAACTCCCTTCTCTTTCTGTTTTAAGGTTCAAAACCAGTTAAAGTAATTTATGTTAATTCACCACTTCCCCAAAAGAAAATGACAATGAGAGAGAGAAATCAAATCTTCCATGAAGTTCCATTAAAATTTATGATGTCCAAAAATACATCTTTTCCAGTCTCTGCAGTATTTATGGACAAACCAGAAGATTGTGTGCCTGAAATGGATGTATGTAATGTTTTTTTTTCCTTAAGGGAATGTATTTGTTTATTCTGTTGAAGCTTAAAGTTTTATTACAAGTCTCTAAATCTGGTAGTTAAAAATCTAGGCTGTAGATTGAAACTTAAAATTGAACCCCAAGTCAAGGTAGCCTTTGGGCAACTAATTTAATTTCCCTCAGCCTCTGGTTTTTCTCCTTTTTTTTAAAAAAAAAGAAAGGCAATACCTATTTCACAAGATTGTTGTAAGCATTAGGTTTGCTATTACAATGTAAAATGCTGAGCATAGTCATTAGTATGCATGTACTAAAAACTCAGTTAATAATGGTGATAATTATGGTGGTAGTTTTAATTGTTCTCATTTATATTTAAAATTTTTTAAGTATGAAAAGGAACAGATGAATTGGATTGGTACAGAAAGTATTTGGCCAGATTGTTAATCCTTTTCAATATACTTAGTAGCTGTGTGACCTTAAGGAAGTTACATAATCTCTCTGTGTCTAGTTTGCTCATCTGTAAAATGGATATCATGATATTACCTAACTCATAGAATTATTTGGAATTAAATGAGTTAATATGTATAAAGCATTTAGAACAGTGCATTTAGAACAGTAAAGCATTTGCATTCCAGAAACAATAGCATTTGTTATTTTGTGTATTTTAAAATATCCATGATTATTAAAGTAAGACATTCTGTTTATACTAGACTTTCTTCATTTGTTCCACAAATATTTATTGAGTAGATACTTTTCTATGCACTGAGGATACAGCAGTGAATAAAAATAGTCTTTTTTCTCTTAGAGCTTATATCAGAGCTTAACAAAATAATAGCAAAAAAGCAGATAGTGGTAAATGCTATTCAGAAAAATAGATTTGGTTAAGGGAAAGAGATAGAAATGGGACTATTTTAGACTCATAGTCAAGGAGGCTTTCCCAGAACAGGAAATATGAACAGAGACTTGAATAAAGTGAGAGAACAAACACAATTAGGAAGTAAAATAGAAAAATAGTTTTCTTATTACTAGGAGTTCATACTATTTAAAGGATATTGGCTTTTTGGCTTTTATATGTTTTGGCTTTTTATGTTTTTCTCTGTTTGCCATTTATCTTTTAATATTTTTATAATATAAATGTCATACAGCATTTCCAACTTTTCTTAAGTTATTTATTTATTTTTGCATTTTAAAATCTACCTAAAACTTATATTAGTGTGAAGTGAATGTCAGGAAGTAACAAGTATTATGAAGAAACATGAAATAGGTTAAAAGGGATGAAAACTGACAGAGTAACTCTTTTTGTTAACAGACCAGGTTATTTGGATCTTTCTCATTACTGCTGATAACTACACTTGATCTTAGCCAAAAAGCCAAGAAGCTGGAAAAAATATTAAAATCCTTTCTTAAAATCATCAAAGAGCTAACAAGATAGTAAGGGCTGAGATATCAGAAGACCAGAATCCAGGGAGGTGAGGCTGTCACTTAGGGTTATTTTTGCCCTGGATGGTATTGACCAGCTCTGAAGACGCAACAGAAAATGAACTGTGGTTTTGGCAGCATCAGAGGACTAGGGAGACAAAAGTCACAGTTCAGTTTTTCATCAAAGGCTTAGACCCTGCAGGGCTATACCCCAAAAGTAAGGGTGAACCAGAAATAAATCAGCTTTCTCAGAGGTTGTAGCCTGAGTTTTCAGGCCTTGAACTTGGATTCAGATGGTTTTGGATTACTGGACTTTGCAAAAGCAAATGAAAATAATTCTTAGAGGAACATAATATAATTTTGAGCCTCAAATAGTTTCTGTGAATAGCGTTTAAAAATATAGATAGCTAGAAACAGGAGGAGAAACAATGACCAAACAAACAGATTCACATAAATGGGTCTTAGAATTATCCATCATAAACTGTTAGTCAATTCTGTTTAATTATACAACATTCAAAGAAAGTAATGCTTGAAAGAAACTGGAAACTTTTAAAAGCTCTAACAGCCCAGCTGGTGTAGCTCAGTGGTTGAGCAGTGACCTATGAACCAGAAGGTCATGGTTTGATTCCCAGTTAGAGCACATGCCAGAATTTCAGGCTCACTCCCCAGGAAAGGGAGTGCAGGAGGCAGCCAATCAATGATTATCTCATCCATGTTTCTATGTCTCTCTCTCCTTTCCTCTCTGAAGTCAATAAAATATATATATACACACATACACACACACACACTCACTCACTCTAGAGCAGTGGTTCTCAACCTTCTGGCCCCTTAAATACAGTTCCTCATGTTGTGACCCAACCATAAAATTATTTTCGTTGCTACTTCATAACTGTAATGTTGCTACTGTTATGAATCGTAATGTAAATATCTGATATGCAGGATAGTCTTAGGCGACCCCTGTGAAAGGGTCATTCGACCGCCAAAGAGGTCGCGTCCCACAGGTTGAGAAACGCTGCTCTAGAGGCTCAATGCACAAAATTGTGCATGGGGGTGGGGATGTCCCTCAGCCCAGCCTGCACCCTCTCCAATCTGGGATCCCTCTCACAATCCAGGACCACTGGCTCCTAACGGCTCACCTGCCTGCCTGATCGCCACTAATCCCTCTGCCTATCTTCCTAATCACCCCTAACCCCTCTGCCTGCCTGTCTGATTGCCCCTACCTTGCTCCCCTGCCGGCCTGATCAACCCTAACCACCTGTGCCTTGGCCCCCGGCCTAAGCCACAGTCTGGCCTCCCTCTGCAGAAGGCGACCTGGCGGATCAGGGTAAGGCGCTGCCCCCATTACCCCACTGCTTGCCTGGCCCTCGCAGCAGCCACTGCGGCTTTGTCTAGAACAGTGGTTCTCAAACTTGGCTGCACATTAGAATCACCTGGGAATCTTTTTAAAATCCTGATTTCTGGGCCTCATCCTCCGGAAATTCTGTGTCTTTGTTACTAATGTTGTGGCCCCACCCCATAACACAATAACAGAATTTCCAGAGGATGAGGCCCAGAAATCAGGATTTTAAAAAGATTCCCAGGTCATTCTAATGTGCAGTGAAGGTTGAGAACCACTGGTCTAGAAGGACGTCCGGATGGTCATCTGGAAGACGTCTGCTCTAATTAGCATATTACCCTTTTATTAGTATAGATATATGCATATATATATATAAAGCTATAACAGATTTGAAAAAGAACTAAATAAAAATTTTAAATTTTAAAACTGAAAAATACAGTAATTACAGTTAAGAATTCTGTAAATGGGTTATAAGCACATTAGATAAAGCTGAAAAGAGAATCAATAAACTGGAAGATGAGTCTGAGAAGACTATCCATATTGTAACGTAGACAACAAAAAGATAAAAAAATATATAGAGAATAAGGCAAGAGATAGAGAAGATACACTAGTAATGAGAATGTTTAATGTGTGTAGTTGCACCCAGAAGGATTGTGTAAAAGAGACATTGGGACCAAATCAATACTTGGAGACAAAGAAAAAACTCTTAAAAGACCTCAGAAACAAAAGGCACATTACCTATATAGCACTGAGAGTTAAACTGCCAAATAACTTCTCAATAGCAACAGTGGAGCCAGAAGACATTGAAATAATATTGTGCTAAAAGACTATAACCCATTTACTAAAATTCTCTAACCAAATTAAAGAGATTTTTCATTAAATATTGAGTTTGCTACCAGCAGACCCCCTCTAATGGATGTTCTTTAGGCACAAGGAAAATAATCCAGATGGAAGGAGGAATGAAGAATGACAAAAGTGAAAATAATATGTATAGACTCTAATTTGTAGGTGATTGCAGGGGCACTCAAGAAGTTAAGAGATTTCTGAGATGGCGGGAGCCCTAAGAACTCTAGATACTTACCAAAGTCCCTTCCAAGGCAAAAGCCTTTGTTCAGGAAAAATTACTGGTGGTAGAGTCCATATTGAGCAGAACAAGGGCATTAAAGATAAATAAATTTTCAGATAACTAATTGTAGGTGAAGGAAATAGAGGAACCAGATCTCAGAATGTGCTCAAGATTCACACACATACACACGAACCTACATATATGCATACTTTGTGGTAACAATGAAGCATGAGCTTAGAGCCATGAAGCTAAGAAAACTGTCCTGGCATACAGGATTGTTCTTCCATAGCAGCAAGAGAAACCATCACATTTAAACATGAAGAACAGAAGAAGCTTGTTGATGGAAGCTCTTACAAAGGTATTAGAGGGGGGGAAACATATTGTTATAACATTTCTACAGTGAAGATGTACCCACAAAATCTGAACACTGTATTCATCCTAAAAAGCTCACTTCTAGAAATGTAGCTTAGAAGTACTAGGAAAAGAACAAAATGTATGTGCAAGCTATTCATTGCAGTACTGTTTGCAGTAGCAAAGGATTAGAAACAATGCACACATGTACAGGTATTAATTAAATAAATGGTACATTTTCAATAGCATACTAAGCAGCTATTAAAAAGAATGAAAGAAGCTTTAGATATGCTGCTATAGTGACATCCAGGATATATTGTTGAGTGAAACAGGCAAGGAAGAGAACATTTTTTTGTAATAGGCTACTTTTTATTTAAGTAAAAAGGATATATAAAATCCATGATTGGCCAAACATAGATTTACAGTTGTGAGTACATGAAATCAGAGTAAAGAAAATCCACACCATGAAGAATAAACTTAAACTAGTGAAAATGGTTAATTGGAGGAGGGATGGAACAAAGCAGAGGAGGTAGGATTATCAACTAGATTTCTCTGAATGTTCTTTGTTTTATACTTTTAACTGAGCCAAATGTTTTACATGTCTCTAAAACAAATTTTAAAATGTTATAAAAGCCAATCAAAGCTGAAGTGAAACAAATGAACCCACTGTATACCAAGTTAGTGCTTTAACCAGTCAGAGAAGAATTATTTTAAGTGATAGAAACTTAGTAAATTGATTGTTACAGCCCTAAAGATTCATATCCTAAATTCAGAAAGAACTGCCAAAAAATCTTAAACTGCATTTAGTAGTCATATTGTTATGAATGATATTGCTGTTTTTATTTTGAACACATCAGGTAATACAATAAAACAAATAAGTCGTAATTATATTAAGAATCAAGTATTCCTAATATATGCCAAGCAATGAAGTTAAGTAAAGCTGATCCTCATCAGTGACTGCTAAAATCATTAGAAGATCAGTGAGTAATTTTATAATAGATAGATTAAGTTGATGAACCAACAAATCAATTGTAATACCACAAGAAGAAAGATAACCAGACATCGTTAGCTTCCTGATTGAAACAAATTTACAGTACCATAAATAAATATTCAGGTTAAAAAATTATACCTGAATCTGATCAAGCTATTAGATCATTTTAATAGGAAATTCTAAAGCTATATGAATGTGTTAAATGATAGCAGAGGGATGCAGAAATTAAAATCTAAAATGGAAATTTTGTCCATGGCTAGGTAGGTTATTTTGTTAGAGCTTAGTTCCAACACACCAACGTTGTGGGTTCAATTCCTGGTCAGGGCACATACAAGAATCAACCAATGAATGCACAAATAAGTGGAACAAGTCAGCATTGCTCTATCAAATCAATTTTAAAAATGGAAATTTTTACAAGCTAACTAATCTGGTTTCTTCTATAAGTATCTGGCAGGTGTGGGAGTTGGCAGAGTATGGGAGAAGCATTTGACAAAGAAAATTGAGAGATGTGTCAACCAAATGCAATGTAGAGATTTTGGTTGGATACTGATTTCAATAAACAATTGTAAAAAGATGTCACACTGGGAAATTTTAACACTTGATTAAATATTTTATGACATTAAGGAAGAATCCTTTTATAGCTACATGCTAAAGTATTTACAGATAAATAAGATTTTTAATTTTATCTAAATTCTGTTGGGGTGAGAATTGTTTTTCAATTCATTAATTTTTTATTTAAATTTTTTATTTGATTATATTATGATTATATTATGTATTGAATATTCTGATTTTTAATGTCTAGTGTTCTAGTTTTTGTTGCTTTTTAAGTATTTTGTAATTATCATTAGTTAATATCTGGAGTGTTTTTTCATTTCCAAGTGCTTGGATTTATTTGTTTATATTTTTCGTAATGATTTTATTTCCCTCTAAACAGAGAGTAAGACCTTAGCAAATTGTGCTTTGTGCTACATTGATGTTTTCTTTGTATATTAACTTATAGTCCATCTTTGGAAATGCCCCTTGGAATCTTGGGAGGGAAAAGGTATATCTTTGTAGTCTATACGTATGTTTTCAGTCATTCATCTACATTTGTTTCAATACTTTAATATTATTCATACTTTCTATTTTTACATACTTAGAGACATACAATTATGTTTCTGTCAAATTTTTCTTTTATTTTTAAGTTTTGACTACATATTTTGATAGTTTAGGCATGTCACAATTCATGACCAGACCATTATCTGTTTGTCATCGATTTCCTCTTTTTTTTTTAACATAGAATTTCCTTTTCTGTTTAATGCTTTACATTGAATTCTGTGTTGTCTAACACTTAATATTACTATTCCTTCTCTCTTTATTTCTTGATATTATGCCCTGTGGTTTTGTTTTTCACCTCTTTGTGAAAGAATGCTTTATATAAATAACAGTTTATTTATTTTTACTAAATCTAGTAGTATTTTTTATTTTATTAGGATCTACCTTTACTGAGAAGCTATTTACTATGTGCCAGGGACTATGTCAAGTAACTTTCTATATACAATTTCTCATTTAATCCTTAGAACAAATCCAAGAAGATGACCCTCTTACCACTATTTTAGTGATGAAGAAATTAAGGCCCAGGTTGATTTACTCACTATCTGATTGCTGTCAGACTCTTTCTCAAAACCTAGGCTGTAAGGCTAATGGGTTTACATAGCCCAGCCTGTAACCAAATTTCCATGGTATTTCTTTAACATGCTATGCCAGATTAAGGAGAGATCTGCTGCTGCTTGGGGAAGAGGACCATTTATTCCTGAATAAATTAAATCTGTAATTCTTCCATTACCAAAATAGTACATGAAAAACTGCAGCTTCATGTCCCAGAATACAAAAAAATCATGTCCTGTCCATTTCTCCTCCTGTTACTGAGATTCGTTTTCCCTGAGTAGATGTAGAAAGAAAGTCACTGATTGATGCACCCGACTCAGAGGCTGGCGACCCTTCACCAGCTGCATTAGAGAGCAGCTTCCTCACAGTGTTAAAGAGGCTTTTCTCCTGTCAGCTAAGTCCAGGTGTCTGTCTCTGCAAGAGTGTGTGGAATGGGTGTGAATGAAAATCTGCTTCCTTCCTATTTGGCTCTATGTCTTCTTTGTGGTCCTGTCTACTGTTTGATTAGTGAAAATTCCTCTTGGGATGTGATAGTTCACAAATGCAGGTATTCCCCATTTCCTGTGTTGATAACAGCTTCACAGATTTGTGTTTCATCAACATTTCATTGGGAATGTAAGGTTAAATAAATTAGTTGATAGTCGTTTATTGTCATTCTTAAGCAAGAACCCTTCAGAGCCATTAGACTTTCTGCTTTTAAAGAGCATGAACTATGTATGTGAGGAGTAGGGGCATTAAGAGATAGATGAGGTGTGGCCTGGAACTTTTGCTAATAGTTTACCAATATATTTTCTTAAGATGTCTCATGAAGTTAATGACTGCCGAAAAATTGAAACCCTTGAAAATTTGGATCTGGATTTTGATGATGATGTCACAGAACTTGAAACTTTTGGAGTAACCACCACCAAACCATCAAAGTCCCCAAGTCCAGCAAGCAATTCCACAGTACCCAAAATGCCAGTTGCTCCCAGAGCCCCCAGTGCAGCATCTACACCTGTGGCACCAGCTGCACCAGTAGACATTTCTGCTCATGCTAGAAGTTTATCTCAGATTCTAATGGAACAGTTGCAAAAGGAGAAACAGCTGGTGACTGGTATGGACGGTGGCCCTGAAGAGTGTAAAAATAAAGGTGATCAGGGAGTTGTACCATGTGCTGAGAAGGTATCAGATAATTGTGACATGCCTCTGGTGCAAGATGGTGACTTGCAAACATCTGATGCATTACAGTTAGGAAGTTCTGTGGAAATGGAAACCTCTAATACAAATGACATGGCTACTGATACAGTGTGTGCTGATGAAAGACTAAATATTCCAGAGAGTACTGACAATTCAAAGGAAGAGACTGTTACATCAGAAGCAGAGAAAACTGAGGATGTAATTCTTTGCCATAGTGATACAGATGAAGAATGTTTAATCATTGATACAGAGGGTCAAAAGAATAGTACCGGAAAGATAGCTGATGTGGGTTCTAACTTAAATCCTAAACCAGCCAGCCCAAATTCTTCCTCAGGACAGGCTTCTGTAGGAAACCAGACTAATACTACTTGCAGTCCTGAAGAATCCTGTGTTTTAAAAAAACCTATCAAACGAGTATATAAAAAATTTGACCCAGTTGGGGAAATTTTAAAAATGCAAGATGAACTCTTAAAGCCAGTTTCCAGAAAAATACCTGAATTGCCTTTAATGAATACAGAAAATTCTAAACAACCTCCTGTTTCCGAGCAACCCTCTGCTCCTTCAGATGCCACTACTTGGCCAAAAACTGCATGGACCTCTGCATTTCAGAAGCCAAAAGGACGTAAGTAAATATTTACAAAAAACTTTATATTTATACTCTTTGCCTGTACCTTGTCCTTCAGTTCTTCTCCTTCATTCACCTCACTTTCTCTATGTATTAACCTGTTTAAAATCTTTATATAGTCATTGATATTTCACTTCATTTTTAATCTACTTATCAGTATTTTAACTTCCAAACCTTTTTTCTAAATATGTACCCAAAGATGTATAGATTTTGTACCCTATGTTTATCCAACATGTGCAGTGGCTACTAAGCTATAGGCAATGTAGTTTGCCAAACTGAAGGGAAACTGCATAAAAATCATAAACATTTATTAATCCAAAATGTATTTCTTCTTGGTATTGGACTGTAATTTTATACTTTTATATTTTGTGAAGTAGATATAAAGCTGCACTTCAGCTCTGCCTAGATTAGGAATAACATTTTTCTAAACTCTTCTCACTTCATATGTTGTCTCACTAATTTATACTTTGCCTAGGGATAAAGTAGTAGTTAAAAGAAAGAAAACTGTAAAGCTTCGATTTCAGGTTTTGCTGCAGTTCCAATAAACATAAACAGAAGTGATAATAGCTTGAAGATGTACTCAGAGGAAATATAAAGTTAAACTTGATAGAAATTTAAAAATAAATCATTGAATTGTTTTATCTTGGATTATGATGAATAACCGACTAATGTCTTTTAAAATAAAAATGAGAAATATAATTATTTTTAAAGGATTGCCATATGAACTTCAGGACTATGTTGAAGATACATCAGAATATGTAGTTCCTCAGGAAGGAAATTTTGTTTACAAGTTATTTAGCCTGCAAGACCTGCTGTTACTTGTACGATGCAGTGTCCAGAGGATAGAGACCAGACCACGTTATAAAAAACGGAAGAAAATCAGAAGAGTAAGTTGTTACTTGTGGAGTTGGGATGTAGTAGCCCACATACTAGTAAATAATCTTCAAATATCTAACATGGCATTGTTGTGAAGTTTAATTTTAAGTTGCTGATCACTCTTATAGTAGTATTTCCAGGTTGAATTTTTAGTAAAATACTGAAAACATTTTTAATAAGGGAAAGTACTTAATTAAATATAATTAGTCATGAATGCTGATAACATTCTTGCATGAAATGCATAAACTTTGTGAATAATGGCCCCATCATAGATTTGACTGAGACTGGCACATATGTTCCTGCTTTCTCTGTGAATTTGGATTTCCATTATGAAATATTAGAGGCCCAGTGCTCGAAATTCATGTACGGGTAGGGTCCCTAGACCTGGCTGGCAATCAGGGCCAATCGGGGCCTTCTGGTTGCCAGCCAGGGCCTCCCTTCCCCAGTTACCAGCGCCTTCCTTCGTTCCACGCCGCCCCCTGCTGGTCAGCGCACATCATAGTGAGCGATCAAATTCCCAGTCTCTCAGTGGAACTCCTGTGGGGACAATTTGCATATTAGGCTTTTATATATATAATAGATATATAGATGATAGATAGATAGATAGATAGATAGATAGATTGATTGATTACCTCTCTCTCTCTCTCACTTTGTCCAAATTGTGAAAGGTGGGCTTTCACACACATTTGAAAAGTCTTGCCAGGATTGTTAGAAGACCAATTGTCTTCCTTTTTTTCCCCCTCTTGTTTCTTTGGGGTTTGATATCAATATTTTCCTCAGTTAAAAAACTTTTTGGTACAATTTGAGTAATTGGCTCTTTCAACTGCTTTCTGTATTTGATATTTGAAATTATCTTCCAGATTAGTTTGATTTGTGTGTGTGATCACAGAAATCTGGTAAATAAAGAGGAGCTTCTCTATTATAATTGATTAAGAAATAATGAAGTCTCTAATTTTTTTACGATAATTTTTCCTTTGTGTACATTTGCCATAGTATACTTCTTAAAAGTTTTAATGTCTGCCTCATGCTGCCTAACCTACCACACAATAACAATCTTCAAAGATCACTGTATAATGTCAGTGTGCTTTGGAGCTAGCGTTTAAGTTGAATTAAGAATTGTCATGTTCCAGCATTGATCCTTATAGATCAGTCATAATAAGGAATAACTGAAAAAAAGAAAATTAAAGTGTCAACCTTGTTAAGCTAATAGCAGCAGTGTTAGGGCCTATCATGAAAACACTCTGAAGCTAACTGCGGGATTTGGATGTATACTTTGTCCACCAGAATCCAGTGGACTGGGTGGATCCTTTCCTTGATGATACTTTATCCTTTGTTAAATTTAAGAAAGGTCGTGAACAAGTTATTAAATTCCTAATTCTCATAATTGGGTTTTCATCACTATATCAGACTTGAAATTTTAGAAAGCAAATGATTTTTAATTAAATGCACGAGGCACTTTTGTATGTTTTTTTAGTAAGAGAAAATCAAGGAATGGCAAAAGACTATACATTGAACACTGATATTCTCTGTATTAAAAATTTTTTACTTTATTTACTAATTTTCCTGTTTTATCTGTATTTTACTGTGATCAACTTAATGGCCACAGCATGAACATCTTAAATATATGTAGTGTCAGTGCTATGGATTATATTTTCGAGGTTTTATATCTTTCATTCTTACTTAGTGTCTTTGATTTATTTGGGAGATAATCTCTTTTCTTTCACATTCTACCTTATGAACCCATACATACCATTTTGTAGTGATCTGCCAGCTTACAGCACTCAAACATTGATGGCCAGTGTCTCTTAAGTAAGAATAGCCTAGGGATGTTTTGGATATAGATTTAATTTCTGAAGACATTGTCATTCATTTGACTTAAGTGAAATTTGTAAATGTGAGAACAAAACTTTATAGGAGAGACTTCACCCTTCATAAAAATATATCCAAAATAGTCCCGCCCCAAAGAATATCTGAATAGCCTTATATTTCTGATTGTGTCAAACCCAGAATAAAATTTTAAAATTTTCAGTGAATAGTTATATGGTACCAGTCATTGTATGTAATAGTTTAGTACATATCGTTTAAATCCCTTAGCAAAATGTGTTCCCCTTGGAATCATGTTTTATACCATAGAAACTCAATAAATGGGTACTGAATAAATGAGAAAACTTGAGGGGTGAAGAAGGAGGGAGGTGTTGATAAGAAAAGTAATTTAGGGAAGTTGAGGCACTAGTTTGAGAAATTTTAAAGTGGTACTGTTTAAACTATAACTAGGTTAGAATCTTCCTCATTAATATTTCCTATTTAAAAATCAACTTGTTTAGGTAAAGCTTTAAAATATGTTATAGAAGTTTCTTCAACCTCTGATGTCCAAAAACCTCATCTCTCTTTTATTTTCCTTTGGGTCTTCCATGTTCTGTTATAATAGTTGAGATTTTAATTTCCAATATCATTTGTTCTTTCTCGTCAAAATGCTGCTTAATAAGAACTGCGCATTAGAGAACTTAAAACAGGAGCCAGTCTTAAATGATGGAATGAAATAAAGAGAGCTAATTTGGACCACAAGATGAAGCAAGAACTTACTGAGTTATACCCATAGTTGTGAAATCCACGCCAAGTAACTTTGAATGATTTGATATTATCTGTCTCAGTTAACCAAATTTCCTAAGAGATATATTCTAAAATAATTCAAAAATTTAGATCCAATTATTTTGTAATTTATATTGGTATTCTAGGGTGAAGAAAAAAGATACTGGAGGTGCTTGAATAGAATGAACCCAGTGGGATCAGTGTCAGGAAATAGCTTTGAAGTATCTATTTAGGAATGTATGTGAAAGTTTAAAAGGATTATGTGAAAAATTGGAAGACAGAGAACCAAGAAAAGCTTTCACTTAGGGAAAATAGGAGCTACTTATCAAGGGAAAAAGGAAATACTAGATTTAATTTTTATAGTTAGAAAACTTTGATTGCACTTAAACTTTCACTTTCATTTTGGAATACTAAGATAAAATATTCAGACTTTCTTTCCTGTGGCTTCCTGGAGATGGCAGTAGAATACATATAGAATTTAAAACCAGAATCAGATATGGCAGTTATTAACAAAGAAAATCCTCTGAAGTATCAAAGTACTTTCTTTTCAGAAACAGTAATATTTTCTTATTTTAAAAAAATCTTAACTCTGTTATCTAGTCATGATTCAGAAAGGGGTCTTCTTCACCCAGTTGTTCTTTTCCTAACCCTGCTGTAAACTGGCTATGTGTCCTTGAGCAAATGCCTTAGCCCTTTGGGCCTTCTTTTTTTTTAATCCTCACCTGAGGATATGTTTGTTGATTTGAGATACAGAGAGAAACATCGATGTGAGAGAAAAACATTGATCGATTGCTTCCCGCACATGCCCTGACCAGGGATGACACTCACAACCTAGGTGTGTGCCCTGACTGGGAATCGAACCTACAACATTTTGGTATATAAGTAGGTGCTCCAATCAGCTGAGCTACCTGGATCTTCATTTCTTTATCTCTAGCTACTATTTGCAGCTATAACTAATTTTAAATGCAGATTGCCAATTGCTGAAGAATTATCCTGTATAATAAAAGCCTAATATGCAAATTGACCGAACGGCAGAACGACTCGTCGGTGGCGGGGTGGAGCTGGCAAGCGGGCGGCGCCAGGCCAGCCAAGGTGGGTGCCAGCGGGCAGAGGGAGGGGATGGCGATCAGGGGGCAGTAGTGACCAGCGGCAGCAGAGGAGCAATCGGGGGACTGGGCCAGCCACTTGCTGGCCAGCACAGTCCCCTGATCGGCCCACTGGTTGCCTCCCGTAGAGGTAGGCCAGACTGTGGCTTAGGCCTAAGTCATCAGTCAAACATCCCCTGAAGGTTCCTGGACTGTGAGAAGGCACAGGCCAGGCTGAGGGACCCACCCCCAGTGCACAAATTTTTGTGCACTGGGCCTCTGGTTCTATATAATAAAAGCGTAGTGTGCAAATTGTCCCCTTGACCGGAGTTCTTCTGCGAGTTCGACCAGGGGGGCAGGGCTGGCCGGGGGAAGGGAGGGAGTCCCTGGCCAGTGCAGTGGCAGGTGGCCAGGGGAAGGGAGTGAGGCCCCAGCCGGCCTGCGGCAGCGGCAGACAGCCGGGGGAAGGGAGAGAGTACCCGGCTGGCATCTGGCAGCCGCTAGGGACCCTACCAGTGCACGAATTTCGTACACTGAGCTTCTATTTATACAATAAAATGCTTTTAGCAATAAAATTAAATCAAGGGGACTTATTACTCATGTTTGGTCCCTGGAATAACAGCTTGTTAAAAATGCAAAACCTTAGTCTACACCTCAGATTCTACAATTTAATAAGATCACCAGGTTATTACTATACACATTGAAATTTAAGAAACACTATTTAGAGTTTTATAACAATCATGTTATCATATAATCATATAAACCAAACCTCCAAACTTGATGTTACAGAAATTTTACTGGATTTGAATTGTTCTTACCACCACTGTTGTGCAAAGCTCATTAGATTGGCCACTTTGTGAAAATCAGGAATTCTGAAACATTTATGAAATATTTTCAAGTATATAAATAGTGACAGCTTAGTATAATTTTGAAGTACTATGTAGCAATATCACTCAGTAAGTTCCATAAATCATGTGTCTCTCCTTCTGCAGCTGGAAATGAAGACGCTGCTATTAACAGTAGAATTTTCTTTGACAGAAGTGAGATAACATGAGCACAGTGAACATGACTAACATGATATTTCACAAGCATGTATTTCCTTGCATATCCTCCTTTAGACCAGTAATGGGTACAGTCATTTACCTAATCTATTTAGTGTCCTGACCAATAAACTCTAAATCTATAACTTTCCATGTGGTTAGTATCTAGAATAAAACTTTTATATTAATGAAGCTAATGACATTCACAGATGTTAATGTAGGTATTAATGCTCAGACATTCATAGAATGAAAACAAGCTGCTCAGACTACTTGAGCCTTAGATAATGTGACTAATGCTTTAAAGGGGCAAAAATTAGTACCTCTTTTAAATCCTCTTGAAAATTACTAGGATATTTCACAGTCATTGCTTCCAGAACCTGGTTTTTAACCTTTGGGCAATTGTGTATCATAGGCTTTGTTTCAAGGTTTCTGCTGTCAGTCACATTCTCTGGCGGAAGTAAATGCAGATTGCCAGTTGCTAAAGAATTATTATACAATAAAATGCTTTTAGCAATAAAATTAAATCAAGGGGCACATGTGGGGAGGAATACTGACTGGGATGGGGCTATCTGGGGGAGGGGGTGGTTAGGCTCTCTTATTCATCCACCTCTCACCCACAAGGGTTCTGTCTTTCTGTCTGAACCCACTGTATTTAAAAGGATCAAATAACATTACTTGAAAGCATTTTGAAAGTGGCAAAACTGTATAGGCAAATGTATTTGCTGTTAATAGTAAGTTAATGGAACTTTTTGAAAGAGTATAACCTTACATTTCAGCAAGTCCCAGTATATGTTCTTCCAAAAGTGGAGTATCAAGCTTGTTATGGAGCTGAAGCTCTGACTGAAAGCGAACTGTGTCGCCTATGGACTGAAAGTTTATTGCATTCCAACAGCTCCTTTTATGTTGGTAAGTTTATAAGAGTCTTTGTTCTCCTTTTTTATTCTCTTATAAGTACATACTTTTTTATTCAATTATACATGTCTATTCTATACTTTTTGTTTTCAGTTTGCTGATTGTGTTAACATTCCTATTAAAACACCATTCCCTACTCCAGAGTTACATGGCAGTGTGGGACTGATCTCAAATGTCTTAATTTCCCTCTTATCCCATATCTATTTAGTTGTACATGAATCTCAACCAAATCATTTTATTTTTAAAATACTTTATTCAATAGTGTAAAAAACTAAAAATATAGAGGTGTTTTCTAATGAGCTTCTTTAAAAGTACTTTTTAATTGGTTTAAGCATATGTTTTGAAATGTTTTTAAAATTATAATGACATTGTTTTTGAAATCTCAAATTTTTTTTAATGTATTTTTATTGATGAGAGGAAGGGAGAGGGAGAGAGAGATAGAAACATCAATGATGAGAGAGAATCATTGATTGGCTCCCTCCTGCACATCCCACACTGGGGATTGAGCCCACAACCTGGGTATGTACCCTGGCCAGGAATTGAACTATGACCTCCAGGTTCATAGGTCGATGCTCAACCACTGAGCCACGCCGGCCAGGCTAAAATCTCTAACACTGATGAAATAGTTTTTCTTTAAGTTTATTTTTGTTTTGCATCTTTTGGGGGCAGGTAGTTAGGCAGGGATTTAATTTGTGTTGGCTGGGTTCATGTATAGTTAACATACTTCACATGAAGAATTATTGATATTGTTCCCTGCCAGTGGAATGCCTAATCCCACACATCTCAATCCATCCCAGCCAACTCTAGTTGCCCCTCTATTAAGTCATTTTCTTCCTGTGATCTCTCAATACATTGTCTTTTTTTTTTTTTTTTACTGTTCTCATGACTTGTTGCTTTCTACTTTATTGTTTTGTAAATCTATCTTTTCATTAAACAATAAGCAGTTTAAGAATCTGGTGAAACTTTGGTTTTGAATTACATTTCTCTGTTGATTAGTGATGTTAACCAACTTTCCATATGTCTTTTGGTCACCTGTACGTCTTCCTCAGAGAAATATCTATTCAGGGCTTTTGCCCACATTTTATTTATTTATTTACTTTATTTATGTATTTATGTATTTATTTTATTTCATCACCATTTATTTCCTTTATGCCCTCTTTCACCTCTACTCATCTCCCTCCCCAATCACCACACTGGTATCCATGTCCATGAGTTCTCTTTTTTTCTTTTGCTCAGTCCCTCTACCCACCTCCCAACAGCACTTCCCTTCCCTCACCCCTCGCCCCTAATGCTCTCTAACTATAAGTCTGTCTCTATTTTTCTTGGTAGTTCAGTTTGTGCATTAAATTCCACATATGAGTGAAATTATATGATAGTTGTCTTTCTCTGACTAGCTTATTTCACTTAGCATAATGTTCTCCAGGTACATCTATACTGTCACAAAGGGTAAAATTTTCTTTCTTTTTACTTTTGTCCACTTCTTAAATTGGGTTTTTTGTTTTTCTGGTGTTAAGTTGTCTGAGTTCTTTATAAATTATGGATATTAACCCCTTATCAGTTGTATCATTGGCAAATATGTTCTCCCATTCAGTAGGTTGTCTTTTTGCATTTTTTTGTTGTTGTTGTTGGTTTTGTTATTTTTTTCAATATATTTTTATTGATTTCAGAGAGGAAGGGAGAGGGAGAGAGAGAGATAGAAGCATCAATGTTGAGAGAGAATCATCAACTGGCTGCTTCCTGCATGCTCCCCACTGGGGATTGAGCCCACAACCTGGGCATGTGCCCTGACCAGGAATTGAACCGTGACCTCCTGGTTCATAGGTCGACACTCAATCACTGAGCCACACTGGCCAGGCTGTAACATGGATTTTATATTGGTGTGATTATCTAACATTTAACTCAGGTCTTTTATACCACTCTTCCTTGGTACATTTCAGGGTTTCAGTGTTTTATCTCCACCTGTTTTGCAGAAATTATGAATTACTTTATAAAATAGAAGTGTAATCTTGAAAATTAGCCTTTTTTTTGGAATTATAGATTTATGCCATGTTCAGAAGAAAGTAGAACTTTGAATATACTGTTTTGATTTTATTTTTAACCATAAGAAATCTTATGTGTGCTTTAATTAAAAATAAGCCGGATTTTTTTCAGCTTTACTGAGGTATAATTGACAAAATGGTAAGTAATTTAAGTATAATTTACAAAATAGTAAGATATTTAAACTGTACATCTTGATGATTTGATATACCTATACATTGTGAAAGGATTTCTCCCATATAGTTAATTAACACATCTCCTCACATATTTATATTTATAATTTTTAATGAGAACATTTAAGTTCTATTTTGTCAAATTTTAATTATAAAGTAGTGTTATCGACCATAATCACCATTTATGCATTAGATCCTTAGACCTTATTTATCTTATAGCTGAATGTTGTACCCTTTTACCAACCTCTTGCTATTTCCCTGTTTCCCCATCCCTGGGAAACACTCACTTTTCTACTCTCTATTTCTAAAAGTTTGACTTATTTCTTTTTTCTTTCTTTTTTTTTTTTTAGATTTTCTGTACAAGTGATAACCATGCAGTATTTATCTTTGTCTAACTCATTTCATTTAGCTTAATGCCCTCAGGATCTCAGGATCTATCTTTGTTGTCATAAACAGCAGAATTTCCTTCTTCCTCCTGTATATATATCACATCTTTATCCATTCTTCTGTTGATGGATACTTAGGTTGTTTCCATATGTTGGCTATTGTGAATAATTAAGATGACTTTTTATAATCTTAATTTTTATCTTAAGAACCAAGAATGTCTTAGGGATGTGTAGAGAGTGTCCAAAACAAATTTTATTCTTTTACTTTGATAATAAATACAATATTTCTCTAAAAATTGAATCTCCATAAAAATTCAACTTTTATAGCAATTAGAAGCACCAATATTTTAAGTTGTTATTCTTAAACTAGGGGCCCAGTGCATGAATTTGTGCACCATGAAAGGAACTGTGGGCCGCGAGGCTGCGGTGGGGAGCGGGGGTTTCTTGGCCCATCCGCCGTGCCCCCTCTTGTCCCCTCCCGCCATGGCCCCCAGTCCCCTCTCTGCCGGCAGCCAGTGTGGCTGGTGGTGCTGGCCCTGCTTGCATCCACTGATGGTGCTGAGCAATTGGGACCAGCGCCAGCAGCGGGTGCAAGCGGTAGCTGCTGCCCCGATTGCCCCTCAGGAGCAGGAGGAGGTGGAGAAACCCTCAGAGGTAATCGGGGGCGGGCAGCCATGGCTCGCACCTGCTGACAGCACCGAGTGATCGGGACCAGCGTCGGGCGCTAGCAGCAGGTGCAAGCAGCGGCTCCAGCGCCAGCTGCGGGTGCAAGTGGGGCTGGCGCTGGCAGCGGGTGTGAGAGGTGGCTGCCAGCTCTGATCACCCCTTAGGAACAGGGGGAAGTGGAGCAGCCCTGAGGGGTGATCAGGGCCGGCAGCGGGTGTGAGTAGTGGCTCTGGTGCCGGCAGCAGGTGCGAGCGCCAGGCGGGGGACCATGGCACGCAAGAGCAAAGAATTTTCAGTAACCACCAGAGGCTCACCCTGATGACAACCCCCACTCACCTGCTCCACCATCCTGCCGCGGCCAATGCCCTCCATGTTCTGTGCACACCCCCTGGTGGTCAGTGCACGTCATAGCAACCAATTGTTCTGTTCTGCTGTTTGGTCTATTTGAATATTAGGGTTTTATATATATATAAATTGTGGACTTAGAAATTATTTCTCTCTTTATTTTTGGTGTTGACACATGTAATCTTTTCTACATTCAGCACATTTTTAAAACAACTCTTTTGGAATGTAAAGATTCTTTACAGTTATTACAGTTTTATAAAAACACTAGAGGCCCAAAGCACAAAATTCGTGCAAGAGTAGGCTTTCCTTCCCCCGGCTGCTGGCACTGGCTTCCCTCTGGCACCCAGGACCTGGTCTTCGCTCGCAGGTCTGGCTTCATCTGGAAGGTCGTCCAGAAGGACATCTGGTCTAATTAGCATATTATGCTTTTATTATTATAGATCTTTAAAGAGACTGGATAACTTGGTTTTTAGTTTTTTAAATGCTACAATTGTTTTTAAGTTTTATATTTTATTTTAGGTCATATCGATGCTTTTACTTCAAAGCTTTTCTTGCTAGAAGAAATTACCTCAGAAGAATTAAAAGAAAAAATTTCAGCACTCAAGTAAGAAAGTTTACTTGTGGTAGTGATTTTTAAACTTGTTAATCACAAATTTTTCTTTATTTCTAAATACTGGTCAAGTTTAAATCCTTCCATTTTCAAAACTTTTAAGCCTTTTATACATTGAGGCTTCTCCTGACCCAATTTGTGATCTATCCATATTAATCTCAATCTCCAAATTAAATATAATGCCAGTGGCACCAGTCTTTCTACGTAAGACAGCGGAGGCTGGAGCAAAGAGTAGCCCATCATCTTGGAGGTGCACAGAACCATACATTGCACCCCTTTTCAGGGATGGGAAAGAAAAGGACAGTCACAGACTCTTAGCTCTCAGGATTGTATATACTCATTTAGACGTACTAATTTCTAAAAGTTTACCCCTCTACCAAGCATTTCTGTGCATCAGAGTGAAATGAATTTACTCAGAACAATAAATGCAAAGGAAATAACTTATGAGCATTATGTAATTTGCACCTCCCAAATTTCTAGGAAGGACTGGTGGTAGTATTATCTCCATTTTATATGTGAGGAAACTGGGACTCTGGCTTGCCCCGGAGCACACAGCTAAGCTAGTGACAGCCTTGGTAGATAATATATTTGATTTACCACTTAGGATGAGAAATTGTCCTGATTTACACTAGTTGCATAGTTCCAGCCTTGAGGCTTGACAGTTTTTCAAACTTTATTTCTCTGCTTGAACTTATAAATGTCCACTTCAATTATAAGAATTGCTTCTTTCCAGGGGTAACCTATGTAAAGCTTTTTCATGCATCACATTTACGTACATTTACATATGTAAAGTTTTTGTGTACATTATTCAGCACCTGTCCCACATCACCCAGTGAAAACCATTTTTAAATAAATAAGAAAGGCAATGAGTTTAGGTTTTGAAAAGATATAAAGAAATACCTTATATTTCATTTGTCTTTATCTTGTCCCCTGTCAGTGGCTTCTCTGGCATCACTCAATTTCTCTAAATTTAAAGAAACTCTCAATTTCTTTGGAAGCTAATTTAGGACCATCTCTAAAAGGCAAGCTCTTATACAGATTGGTTCTGCTAAAGACATCTGAACATTTTTAAAAGTTTATAATTTGAACATAAAGTAGTGATCTCCTTACAACTGCTCTAACAAAAGCCAGTCCTTGGTGATTTTGAAGAAAACACAGGAAATGGCAAAAAAAATAAGTAAATATTATACTTTAATCAAATTAGAAATAAATTTTGGTATTCTGTGTTTTAGCTGTTTTCTGAGGGCATTTCTCTTCCTAAAGATCTATAATTAAGAGTAAGGGTTTTTTTTGTTGTTTAATTATACATGAATTTCTTCCATTTTCTAGGATTTCAAGTTTATTCAATATCCTCCAACACATTCTAAAGAAATTAAGTAGGTAAGTATTTTTTGGACAGTTTCATTGATATGTCTGATTTTCTTGGATGAAAATTCAAGAATACTAACTTTGAATATGTGCTGTTAGGAATAAATATAATATAACCCAGAAGATTTATTTTTTTTGTGTCAAAGTTGAAGTTGTGAAAATATAACTAAAAAGATAATATTTACATTTTTCTATAAGGCTTATTTTATTGGTTTCCTATTGCCACTGTAACAGATTACCACAAACTTAGAACAACACAGTGTATTCTCTTACAGTTCTGCAGGTCAGAAACCTGAAATCATCTTCCATTGGACTAAACTCATGTCAGCAGGGCTGGTTCCTTCTGGAGGCTCTGAGAGGACAATCATTTCCTTGCCTTACTTTTTAGCTTTTAGTGGCTGCCTGTATCCCTTGCCTTTGATTCCTATCTCCATCTTCAAAGCAAATCACTCAAATTTCTGCTTTCCTTGTCACATTTGCAAAGCCATTAAACGTAACATTAACAGTTCTGGAGATTAGAATGTGGACATCCTGGGTGACCATTATTCAGCCTACCATAGCTATATTGTTCACATTTTCAGGGTAAGGAAGCAACATAGGCTAGTGATCAAAAGTCATTAGCTCCATGGAAAATATTAGAATATGGATTCTCCACCCAATCATTTATCAAACTAAATAAGTGAACTTGTTAATGAACTTTTGTGTCTTTCTGTTATGCCCTTACCAAAAGATAAACTAAAAAACAATTCAAGAGTCTGATAAAAAATCTCAAAGTTCTAACTCTCCTATTTATGAAATAATGGTGTTGAGTTCAGTAATTTTCTAGGTACTTTTCAGTTCTCAGATTCTGTGATTCTGTAGCAGGATTTTTATTTTATATATTCTGTTATTTGTATAAAACACAATGCTTATACATGAAATTTTTTAAAATTTATTTCTTTATTGTTGAGAGTATTACAGTTGTCCCCCATTTTCTCCCTCTTTGCTCCTCTCCACCCAGCCCCCCGCCCCACCCCAAGCTTTCACCACACTATTGTCTGTGTCCATGGGCTATGCATATATGTATATATGTTCTTTGGTTAATCTCTCTCATCCCTCCCACCCGCCTCCCTACTGAGATATAATTTGAGTCAGTCTATCCCATATATCCATGCCTTTTGACCCATTGTGTTTGTCAGTTTATTTTGTTCATTTGATTCCACATATAAGTGAGATCATGTGATATTTGTCTTTCTCTGATTGGCTTATTTGCTTAGCATTATACTCCCCAGGTCTATGCTGTCACACAGGGTAAGAGTTCCTTCTTTTTTACAGCTGCATAGTACCATAAACTCTTGATTTGGTGGACTTCAGATTTAACAGACAAAATTTCCAGTCCATATGTTATGTGAAAATTAACACTCTAATGATATTAAAATGCTTTTAATAAGATTTGCTTATAATTAAATTAAAAGGTTTTTTGTTATTGTTACCAATTCACTGTGATTTTTAATAAATTTTTGCATATAGGCCATATATTGGGAAAAACACTGGATTAATTTCACCAATGTAAATACATATTACATATTGACAGCTATCGTCTGCAAGAACAATGTTCGGCAAATGATTAGCATGTGATCAATTAGCACGGCAGGTAATTGATTCTGTTGTGGCATTGCGTGACTTTCTGAAGCAATTGAATGGCTGCCAGCAGATGTTCCCATGTGCACTATGCCATGCCCTAGCTGTATGCATTTGTTTTGTCACTAGAGGTGACTGGTGAATGCACACATTTACTAGACCTATTCAATATAAATTTAAAATTACAGTAATACATATAGAAAACTTTTCAGTGAAACTAAACTTTTCATACATATTTGATTTTAATTACACAAACATGTCTACACTAGAGGCCCGGTACACAAAATTCGTGCACAGGAGGGAGGGGTCCCCTCAGCCCAGCCTGCACCCTCTCCAATCCGGGACCCCTCGGGGGACATCCCTCTCACAATCCTGGACCGCTGGCTCCTAATCGCTCACCTGCCTGCCTGCCTGGTTGCCCCTAACTACCCACCCCTGCCGGCCTGGTCACCCCCAACTGTCCCCTCCACTGGCCTAGTCGCCCCTCACTGCCCTCCCCCCCCCCCCGCCAGCCAAATTGCCCCCAACTGCCCCCTACCCACCAGCCTGGTCGCCCTACACAGCCTGCTGTTCAGTCGTTTGGTAGTCCTCACTAATCCCCCAGCAGGACTGAGGGGACTGGGCACCGCCATCTTGTGGTTGTGGGTGCTGCCATCTTTGAGGGCGTGGCAGTCAGCATATCCCCTCCTTATTGGCTGTGGGCGCCACCATGTTTGCGATGGCATGAGGGTCAATTAGCATATTCCCTCTTAACTAGATAGGATAAGTAAAAACAGGTAAACTAATTTGTCAAATTTTTAACATGTGTATTTGGAAAACTTTATTATATAATAGACTTCAGCTTTAACAGACACCCCCTCGCCTGAATTAGTTCCTTGTAGCAAGGTTTAACTACATTCCATGGTGTAAATGTACCACAGATGAGTAGATAACTCATCAACTGATGGGCACTTGGGATCTTAGTTATTGTAAATAACGCTGCCCTAAACATAGGGGTGCGTATTTTCTTTCTGATTGGTATATCGGGAGTCTTAGGATAAATTTCCAGAAGTCGGATCACTGGATCAAAGGGCAGTTCCATTTTTAATTTTTTGAGGAAACTCCACACTGTTTTCCACAGTGTCTGCATTCCCACCGGCAGTGTACTAGGGTTCTTTTTTCTCCACATCCTCGCCAGCTCTGTTATTTGTTGATTTATTGATGGTAGCATTCTGACAGGTGTCTGGTGATATCTCATTATAGTTTTTATTTTCATCTCTCTAATTATTAGTGACCTTGAGAATTTTTTCATATGCCTCTTGGCCATCTGTTTGTCCTCTTTGGAGAAGTGTCTATTCACTTTGCTCATTTTTAAATTGAATTGTTAGCCTTTCTGGTGTTGAGTTGTATGAGTTCTTTATATATTTTGGAAAATAACCCCTTATCAGATATGTCATTCGCAAATATGTTCTCCCATATAGTGGGTTCCATTTTCATTTTGTTGGATGGTTTCTTTTGTTGTACAGAGCTTTTAGTTTGATGTTGTCCCATTTGTTTATTTTTTCCTTTGTTTCTCTTGCCCTAGGAGATGTATTTGCAAAAATACTGCTACATGAGATGTCTGAGGTTTTACTGCCTATGTTTTCTTCTAGGATTTTTATGGCTTCATGGTTTACATTTAAGCCTTTTATCTATTTTGAGTTTATTCTTGTGTATAGCGTAAGTTGGTAGTCTAGTTTCTTTTTGTTTTTTATTGGGTTTTTTTTTTTGCATGTACCTGACCAATTTTCTCAACACCATTTATTGAAAAGACTATCTTTACTCTATTGTATGCTCTTGCCTCCTTTGTCAAATATTAGTTGACCATAATGGTGTGTGTTGATTTCTGGGGTCTCTGCTTTATTCCATTGTTCTATATGCATGTTCTTGTGTCAGTACCAGGCTGTTTTGATTACAATGGCTTTGTTTGTATAGTTTGATATCTGGTATTATGATCCCTCCAACTTTGTTCTTCTTTCTCAAGATTGCTGAGGCCATTCGAGGTTTTTTTGATTCCATATAAATTTTTGAAATATTTGTTCTAGATCTTTGAAATATGCCATTGGTATTTTAATAGGAATTGCATTGTGTCTGTCAATTGCTTTGGGTAGTATGGACATTTTAATGATGTTATTCTTTCAATCCATGAACACAGTATATGCTTCCACTTGTTTGTATCTTTCTCTGTTTCTTTTTTCAATGTCCTATAGTTTTCAGGGCACATGTGGAAGGCATCCAATAGATGTCTCTCTCATATCTCTTCTCTCTCTCTCTCTCTCTCTCTCTCCTCTCTCCCTTCCTCCCTCCCTCCCACTCTATCTAAAATCAATTGAAAAAATATACTCAGGTGAGGATTAACAAAACAAAAATGCCATCAATTTCTGGGTGTTAATTTTGTATCCTGCTACTTTCTTGAATTCACTTATTAAATGTAGTAGTTTTTTGGTTCAGTCTTTAGAGTTTTCTATGAAATTTTATTATCACTGTCTTAGTTTGTGCAAATGTAAAAAAAAATTACCACAAAATTAGTGTTGTAGAACAACACAAAGTTATTATCTTGCAGTTCTATAAGTCAGAAGTCTAACAGGTCTCCCTGGGCTAAAATCAAGGCATTGCAGGGCAGCTTTTTTTCTGTAAGGCTCTGGTGTGTTCTGTTTCCTTGATGTTTGTGTATTCTAGAGGCCACCTGCTTCCTTGGCTCATGCCCCTCTTCCTCCATCTTCAAAATTTCAAAGGCAAATTGAGTCCTCCTCACATCACATCACTCTGACCTCTTCCACAGTCACATCTCCCTCTGAGTGTCTTCTGCCTCCCTTTTCTACATATAAAGACTCTTATGATTATAATGGGCGCACTAAGATAAACCCCCAGGAAAATCTTACTGTTTTAAAATCGGCTGATTAGGAACCTGAATTCCATCTTGATTCTCCTTTGCCATGTAGTGTAACATATTCACAGATTCTAGGGTTTAGGACATAGGCATTTTGGGGAGGCCATTTATTCATCGTGTTTATTGTACTTTTGTGGCACTTTTAAGATACTCTTCTTTGGAGCACCTATCTCATTTTTATAAATTCTTTCTGTAAACCAAAGCTACCCTTATTTTTAGTGAAGTTAGTTAAGCTAACTTCATTGATGAAATGTCAATCTTTAAAATGTTATTTATTCCTATTACCAAATCAACTATTATTCATTTCTTTATATGGAAATATGAAAGTGATGGTTTGGGAAAGTAATTCTCCAGAGGGTAAGAATAATTTTCTGTGCCACCTTGGTCTATTACTTTTCTGTTTAAAAATTTAATGAAAACGTAACTTATCAGGTTTGTAGGCAGATCCGTAACAGTAAAGTATGATTAATTCTTATTTTTAATGACATATTATGGGGAAAAACTGATGTTCTCCTTAGCACTTTTGAGCTGAAAGAGTGTAAAATCCTAAGAAAGCACAGTATATTAATCATATTCTTTTAGCTCTTTATGTTGATACACTGAATTCCCTAAAGCTTTCTAAGGAAAAATATACATTTGATGTTTGACAGATCTGATTACTGTGACAATGGAGATTATGACTAAGGGTATGGCCTGTGGAGTTCAACTGTCTGATTTTTATCCAAGGCTTATACTCAGAACTTTGGGCATATTGCTTACCATCTCTAATTCCCGTTTATCTCTAGTACTAGAGGCCCAGTGCAAGAAATTCGTGCATGTGTAGGGTCCCTAGTACTAGAGGCCCAGTACATGAAATTCGTGCATGGGTAGGGTCCCTAGGCCTGGCCAGCGATCAGGGCCGATCAGGGCCTTCCAGCTGCCGGCCCAGGCCTCCCTTCCCAGGCTGCCAGCCGGGGCCTTCCTTCGTTCCATGCCTCCCTCTTGTGGTCAGCGCACATCATAGCAAGTGATTGAACTCCCGGGGGGACAATTTGCATATAAGTCTTTTATATATAGACTAGAGGCCCGGTGCACAAAAATTTGTGCACTCGGGGCGGGGGGGGGGGGGTGGTCCCTCAGCCTGGCCTGTGCCCTCTCGCAGTCTGGGACCCTCGGGAGATAATGACCTGCTGGCTTAGGCCTGCTTCCGGGTGGCAGAGGGCAGGCCCCAATCCCTAGGTGCAGCCCCTGGTCGGGCTCAGAACAGGGCCGATTGGGGAGTTGGGGCACCACCCCTGTCATGCACAGAGCAGGGCGGATCGGA